CCAATTACATGAAGGATTCTCATACTTTATTTTAAGTGCCATGTCCTGTGATTGAAACTCTAAAGTGACCAAAAGGAAACTGAGCTGTTATATGGGCAGTATTCTCTGTGCATGATCTTCTCTGAATGTTGCTTGAGAAGTGGGGTAGCAAAAAATCCTAACTAATTTGGCTTTTATTTGTAACATTGAGCAAACAACCTTTTAATTTCCTTGATGTGAAACAAAACTGGGGGGGGAGAAGAAGGTAACCAAAACACCAAACGAAAACCCATGCACTGAGAGGCAGAGGAAGTCTGGATCAGGCAATATGATTGTGTTGACCCTCTGACATCCCAAAGAGTGAGTAGAAACGAGCATTTGCTGTAGATGTTGGTTGTCTCATCTTCCCTGGTAACCTCGGTGATCTTCTAATACAGCATCTGGGTTTACATGACCTATTTAATCATAGGATATGTTGTGAACTCTCGTGTCTCACCTTCAAAGAGGCCAGCTGAGGGAAGAGATAATATATCACGATTTTCTCTCTTCTTATCATATGAATATGAAGAGATATGTGTGTATATATGGCACATAGATACTGTAAGTATATAGACACTAAGGCCAGATCTTCATGGACAAGCTTGTCACTCAAACACACTGGCTCTACTGATCAGTTTGGAAGACGCATGTTTCTGATCGTTGGGTACTGCCATGCAAAGAGGCTTTCCTTGAAAGGCTGCCATGCAAGAAGGCTCAACCAAGCCATACAACCGTTTGGATAATTTTCTAAATGCTCTAATAATCTCTCTTTCTTCAGACTGTGTTTTTCATTAGGGCTTCAGCAAAATTTAATTATGCAAATTCTGAGTCATATGTAGACTTGCCAATTTGCATTAATAACTTGAAGAATCATTGAGAGCTGCTAATTTTCTCAAATTAGCAAGTAAGTCAGTGAATGTAGTAGAAAGAATGGAGTGTGAAAGATACTCTATTTGTTCAGTGTTAATTTCTCATTATAACTTTATTTGATAGCAGTAAACATTTTGCAGTATACATTTGTAAGATAATAAAATCTGAGTACTCTGTCCTCGCTACAAGTACTCTGATGGAATCTTTGTTTGAAAGTGAATGTTATATATCATTACAACATTAATTTCTATTTTTCAGATGACACACAAAGTGTAAACATACAGACATAACATAATTACGCAGCTGGGCTTTCAGGAAAAATGTATTTTGCCTTTTCCAGGTCACATTTTTATGCCACAGTTAGTATTTTGACTTTAATTCTGGACTGTGTTTATACAGATTGGGATCAAAAGCTGAAGGAAAATGCACTGAAATAAAGACTCCTTACCCCTGGACCAGTAAACCTTCTGTATCCCATTCCATGTGCTAAGGGGAGACGTCAGTCTCCTGTGCAATATGTCCATGGCGAACTGGCCCCACCCTTTAAACCTGAGGTTTAACTGACACAGCCTAGTTACCAAGGATGGTGACATCAATGTCTGTATAGACAAGCGAGGGTCAGAACGGTAGGTGACAAGGTGCATGGGAAGCTGCAAGATCCAACGTTGCATGCGGGCGGACCAGCGCATGGGCAGCTCCAGTTAGCTCAGGAGTTGAGTGTCGTGATCAGACACTTCCTGATTGCCTAAGCACCCTTTTTCACAGATTTGCATATCCCACTTGCCCTTGCTCATCATCCTTGTAGTAAGTATGGTTAAAGCCCTTCCCAAATCTTAGCTCGTGAAGCCAAGCCATCAGTCAATGTCCATGGAGAGCCATTAACCAGAATGTTGTGGATTCAGTAGAAGCTGCTTTGGGGTATTGAAACAGAAGTCTAAGGGAAATACGTTTCTTCAGTTTGCAGAGATCTAGGGTCTTAAGCTTTGGAATATCTCTTGAAGCAGAACAGAGAGACCAAGTATTGGCATATAGCTCTTTGAAACTAAAAGATGAGAAAGAGGGAAGGGGATTTTAGATTAACAAGAGTAAAGGAAACTAAGAGAAGGATATGCCTTTGTTGTGGGCATTTCCCTTTAACTGCAGGACTGTCTGAGCCAGACAGAAATTGCTGTGTGGGATACAGACAGATAAACACATCATAGAAACTATTCAGGATGGGAGGAGGCATATGCAAGTCCTGGGGTCTGGGGCAAAAATGAGAAGGAAGAGCTGCAGCAGGGCTAACAGGTCATTCCATCAGGCAAAGCCCTGCCAAGGAGGGCCCTTAATATTGGAAATCCTAAAATAGGCATTTTCTGTCCAAGAGCCAGACGTGTTGAGTTCAGCAATGCTGCAATTAGAAGCTCTGAAACCAGATCCTCATGGGGAAAGTGGACTTGATCCTGCCAGCAGGAAAAGTCAGGCTTCACCTTGCCAGGGGGAGAAATTCAGGGGAAGCTTTTCGAGTGTGTTTTGGTATAGGCAGTTTTGCATATAGATCTTGGAATGGTGTTGCAATTTCCAAAATAAACCAGATTAAAAAGAAAGTATATATACACAGTAGGTTTACACTATAAATAAAGCTTGAAGGGAAAAAGAAAAAAGGCTACAAGTTTATGTGCAAGAATTTCCTCCCCCAGTTGCTGTAGTTTCAGGTATGATTATAGCACGTGAAGAGGATATCCTTGATATAATGGGCACTCTGCTGGGTCTCTGTGTGGAAAAGCATTTAGTACTACTTAGCACACAATGGTTATGGAGTCATGCACGTATTGTTTATGTCTCCTAATCCAGGATTTATTGCCCTGATCCTGTTCCAGAATTAGGGATTTGAGTTGTTTGGAAAAAGTAAGATTCTTCAAAGCTTTTAAGCAAGTTGATTTACTCTGGCTTGAAAAATCTCATATTCCCCCAACTTAGATTAGTCAGTATGATCCTTGTATTCAGCCATGTAATAATCAGCTGGGGGGGGGGGGGTTACAAATGGCGCATATTACCAATTAATAAACTGCTACATTAGACTTTAGTATTAGAATACTAATGAGGTAGGTTGAAAATTGCTACCTCATGGTAGTACCTCATAATGGTTAGTTATTCCTAATAGGTTACCATTTTGTTTCTTTCTGGAGTGGGAAGGAAAACCAAAACAGTGAGACAGCTTGGTTACCTGCAGTTTTCCCTTTGCTATTCTGTACAAAGACAGTAAAAAAGAAATCAATTTGTGCATAATTACCACTGCCAGCTCAGTCTCTACACTTGGAGATTTTTCTTTGAGAAAAATAGCTTCTATAAGGAGATGTATTTTTACACCAGTGTAACAATAGTCTTTATTACAGCAGAATGAGCTCATTGACCAATGGCCCTCTGGTAGACCTCTGGGACCTCCAGGTCCTCATCTACAGAATTCTTCTCTAACTCGTTGTTCCATGTTTGCATAGTTTGTTTTTTTCTGCAGTAGTGGAGAAACCTGTATTTGTCCTTACTGAGGTGTCTTTCCAGCTTTTCAGGATAACAGGAACCTTTCTAATTATGATCCTGTTGGGTGGTGTACTTGTAGAGCATCTTGTTCATGCTGTCTGTAACTCTTATAAGAGCACTCTATTTCATCCTTTGAATCGTTATTGAGAATATTGGATAATACCTCCTATGGACAGACCTCTGTGCAGTGCCATTCAAAATACATCTCAGTGTTAAGGTTTTAGCATTGCATTGCTGCTGGCTGTTCTCTGGGTGCTATTTTTTAATTCTCTGTCCCAAGGTTGTTGATGGAAGTGCCAGAATATTATGCAAAGCAGTATTAAAAGACTTGCTATAACATATGTGGCATATATCACATGATTTATGCAACATAAACGACATTTATTGCCTGAGCAATCTTTGACATTTGTTAATGCAGAGGGGGTTTGTGAAGACGTAATACAGTTATTGTATAACTGCATTATATAGTGACTGAAAAATGTTATTTCATTTCATTAGGAAATTATTGGAATGTTTCAATGGCAAGTTTGCTAGAAAGAATAACACTGGCTTCTCTGAAACAAGGCTCTTGGTTATCACAGTTTATGCATCAATTCTGACTGCTTGTGTAAATGCGCAGGCTTATCATTTGTTGTCACAGCATGCAAGATAAAATAAAAAAAAATAAGAAAAAAAGTGTGAAGTCTGGTTCTAACTAAAAGTGTCATTCCAGTACAGAAGAATGCTGTCAGAAATATAGGTAATTGTGTCCTCTTATGTTATATGGTAATCTACAGGATATTAAAGGCTTTTCTAGGGCCTTTTTAACAGTCTTAACTCACAGAAGAGTTATTGATCAGGCAGACAGCTCACTTCCATGAGTTCCTTTCATAAGGATTTTGTAGCTAATTAATTAAAATTGTTTGCAGTAAGTATTTTAATGGGAAGAAAGGACTTGCATTTCTAATGATTTTGCCTGTAGTTTGATTAACTTAGAACAGGCTTTTTAACGAGAGCATTATCCAGAGCAGATTAAGGACTAGGCCATTTTGATGCATTTTTATAATTTAATGGGAGATGAACCTTCTGTATTGTCAGAAGGGCAGTTGCTGTTTTGCAAGGCTGAGTTCCTTTGTTTGACGATTTGCAATGTTCTGTGTATTACAGAATTTTATGTAGTATGTTAAGCCTTTGTCATCTCTGCTCAGCTTGTCATGAGGTGTTGGCTTTATGGTCTTCAGGTGATCATGTCTTTGCTTAAGTTAATGTAACAAATGGAAGAAACCCTTGTTTCCCTGTCAGCTCTCATAAAACTTTATTGACAGCTTTACAGTCCCTGAGCATTATCAGCAAGGAATAGCTGTATGAATAATTAGTGTGTCCATTGCTTCCCTTAAATATGAATCAAAAGAAAATTAGTGTGAAAACACAGAGTTTTGTGGGTTTAAACAATGTTAACATTACCATATTAAGTTAAAAAAAACCAAAGTTATTCTGCTTACATACTTAAAACATTTCAGATAAAAACAAATGAATTTTTAGCTTTATACTTATTTGGAGTTCATTACTGTTGGTAGATTTCTTCATGATAATATTTCCTTATATATTCTTCCTAGAATGGCTTTACACCTTTATATATGGCAGCTCAAGAGAACCACATTGAAGTGGTAAAGTATCTCCTGGAGAATGGAGCCAACCAAAGCACAGCTACTGAGGTGAGGTGTATTATTTTTTTACACACTGTTATTTTCATTTGCCTTTACATCCAGATTGCTTAAAGCCAGAAGATTTTTCAAATGGAGTATTTTGAGAACTTTTGTATTTTAATTTCAAGCTATATTTATGAATCTTTCTTTCTGCATGCACAGATGACTAGGGTGAATGGTTCTGGAAGTGGTGAAAAGTCAAGGGATGAAATCCAGCCTGATACATTTGACAGCAAAATTTCCACTAAGTTTAGTAAGCCCAGGATTTTCATCTTCAGTTTGTGCCCATTTCTCATACCCACTTCCTGGAGACTTTTCTGAAAAATGATTGAGGCTCTGAAGAGAGGTCCCTACGGCTGTAGCAATTACAGGAGGCCAGGGTGGTCAGAAGAATGGAGCGGATAGTAGATCAGTCACAGTGTAAATGGAGAGGTACAGCATTTCATTTGAACAGATTTATGTTTTCAACGAAGCCCATGAAGACTCAAAGCATCTAAAAGTATCATCACCTCAGCAACAGGGGCAAAAATTCTGGGCAAAAATCGGTGAATTGAATATTATAGAGTGTATCTCACACTCTTGGCTGAATAAGGGGTCTTCTGAGGAGAGGTAGTTTGGAGGCTTGCTTCAGTTTCTTTCTCAGCAAGCTGCAAAGTGTGTGGAACATAATCTGGATGTCATGATTAGGATTATGAAGACTGTGTCCAGAAAGGTGCCTGTGTATAGTGTAAAATAATATAAAAATTATTAGTATCAACAGTCAGTTGTTGACAAGCTTCCTTTTAGATCAGGTCATGAGATTTCAGATGCATTGTATTCTGCATAGAGACAGAGAGTGAGAAGTAGGCAAGTGCATGTACAAAAGTGATGACTGGAGTAGGGGCTCTGTGGTGCCAGGTTCCCAGAACCATTCCACAGTAAAAAGGAGCCCCAAGAGGTCACTTAGTCTACCTTCCTGCTCCTGTTCCCCTAAGTGAGGAGCAATTGCCCAGACAAGTTATTCTGCTTCTGAGGCTTGACTTTGTGTAGCATATGAATATTTGTCACTTTTGGTGATTAGCATAAATTGGAAATCAAATGACTAACAAGGATCACATCAACGAGCTCAGCAGGGCAAAGTGCTGTTTTGTCTTCGGGCACTTTACTTTTACTGCTGGATCACAGGGTATAAATGTGCAGAAGGATGGTATTAATTGCTTGGTCCTGGATGTAACTGCAGTGCTGTAAAGCTTCCGTGCAAGCAAGGTAGACACCAGAGTAAGAGATGTGACTCCATCTGAAGATGAATTCAATCGTAAGAACTTCCTTCTGCAAATGAGGAGATTTAAAGGCAATGGGAAAAACTCCTAGGTCATGAGGCCTGTGCTCATTCTATCTCCTGCTCTTCTCTTTCTGCCAAATGTTCTTTTATACTAAACCGAAGGGATGAGTGAGGAGGATCTGTGCTGCAAAGCATTGGCTTTTGTTTGTTCTAGGGATATGAACATGCCATATGAAGTGGTAATAGGAAAGTTCCTCTCCTGCCAGAGCTTTTGCTCACGTTTATTACTTTTCACTATTCTGCACATAAACATGCGCATTCTGGACTGCCTTCACAAATGCATAAATTTAAAATTATGGGCCATTTATACTCACTCTCCTGTCTTTTAAACTGAATCACTAATGTTAACAGCTGCTATACTATCTCTTCTTTCAATGGAGAGTGTACCATTTGACTAGAGCTCCTAAAATAATCCTCTCATGGCATGCATATATGGTGATCACATTACATGTCAGCTTTCTGAAGTATGAAATCCCGTGTGATTGCCAGGCAATGTGGCAGAAACACGCTGCTTGTGAGGGAGCCAGGTGGAACTGGGGCTCTCCAGGAGCCCAGCAATGGCTGAGGCCTGGGGTCACCTGCTTGCAGATTTTCTCCCAGTGACTTTTACTGGCTGTGATGGTCAGGTGCACTGGAAATTCATTCATTAATTGGCAGGACCGAGATTGTTATAATTAATGGAGCCTCTGCTTGAATGCAGACATTCGGACGTCACTGGAGCTCACAGTATAGTCTGACAGTTTTTAAAAAAGGCACAGGGTAGAAAAAAAATCAAGTGCCCCCACTCTGAAACTGAGTCCAAGTCTGTCTTCTGCCATTGGAAAGGTCAGCTCTCACTTTTGTGGGTTGGAAAGTAGTGGCTGTCTACTCTGTTATGACTGAACTCAGTAAGTTTTGGTTTCAGGTCTTGCTGAGATGATGGTCTCAGTGATTTTAATGTCACAGAAGGATAGTCTGACCCACTATCTGCTTTCACACCTGCCCACAGTCTCCTGAACAGAATGGAGAAAATGATACATTAAATAAGGTGTGATGTCAGCCTGAAAAAAGGATGCCAATGAGATACATGGAGAAGGATCTTCTGTTTAGCAACAAGGTCTGGCTGTCCTCAGTGTGGGGAGGTTGGGAAATGAAATGCGTTCTCTGAGCTATGGTCAGTCATCCTTTCCAGAAGTGATAGGAGAGGGATGCAGATAGAGTTGTGTCTAAGAAGGGTGGAAAGTAAAATGTTGCAAATCAAATGGATGATGTTCTCTTTGAAGCTTTGAAACTTGCACTGCCTTTGGATATATCTCATTTCCTTTCACGCTTATATGCGTATATGCACAAAATGAGAGGAAGGATGAGTTCAGTTTCATAGGGTCTCTAATCCAGGATTAGCTCTCATGTTCCCAGAGGCGAAAGGCAAATGCATTAAGCCATTTCAACACCTAATGTAGCCCCAATCTCAGAATTATCTTTACAGTTCAGCTGTTTTGTCAGCTGTTCACCCTTTTTAAATTCACTGTACAGAGTTTAATCTCTATTACAGAAAGAAACCATGGTAGTATCACTGTCGCAATGCACCTACCCAGAGTTCTACACCAAAGGGAATGAATGTTATTAGATTACTAAAGGGAAAAATGTCTTTGGCAATTCTTCAGATGTTTCTTTCAGCATATGTTACCTCTCATTCCTTCCTAACTTGTCCTTTATTATTTTATCATCTTTCATTTTCCTATTCCAAATTAAGTCTGTCTCGTTCCTATGCCTTTAGAGTATATCCAAACCGGTTTTCTCACTTTCTGGCTATAATCAACTCTTTAGTTGTTCCTAAGACACAAAAGCAGGCAGTACTTGAGCTGAAATAGCAAGTTGTGATTGTGTGACGTTTTAAAACATTGGTAATTTAAGGCTTGTGTGGAGAAGCAAGACAATTTGAAAATAACTTTGAAACCAAGCTAAAATTATGACTGAAAAGCAGAGAGATTTTTCTGGTATTTAAAAAAAAAAAACCAAACAAATAATTTAATGTTTTCCTGCTTCAAATTAGACTAAATTTCTAAACATGACCTGGCTTTCTTGACTCATAGTCCATGTATAACTTAGAATGGGAAACAGCAGGGAATGCAGCCAAAGCGATTCTTTTTGCAGAGATGCAAGATATTCAGAAACAGGTTCCCTGGTTATTTTCCACATCTACTTTGTTCAGTGCTCACTAATCCTTACCAAAATATTGATAAAAATATACTTTGTGGCCTGTTTTAAGATGGGAAGTATTTGGGGTACTGTAGAATGATTCTTTGCTTGCACTTGATTTAAAAGAAGGCTACTTTGAAGTGGAAAAGTGTGCCTCTGACATGTTTGAAATCCTATCTGGCTTAAAATATTGGGCCTCCAGTGTCGTTTCACTTGAGACAGTGGTGCAGTGGTAGAAGACAGCTGATAAGGTGCTCACCAAATGTTTGTGTGTGAACAGCACTGTGCAAATCACTGAGCTTGCATGTCCTTCACCTTACTGAGCACACCTTGTTTCCTTCTCTACCAGGATGGTTTCACTCCTCTCGCTGTTGCACTGCAACAAGGACACAACCAGGCAGTGGCCATTCTTCTGGAAAATGACACCAAGGGGAAAGTGAGATTACCTGCCCTGCATATTGCTGCTAGGAAAGATGACACCAAGTCAGCAGCGCTCTTGCTGCAGAATGACCATAATGCTGATGTGCAGTCCAAGGTAACTGGGCGGTGCCCTAAAGGTAACATGGTAGTCATGCAGCTAAGTGCCGATGGGCAAGAAACTTGACTTCCTTCACCTTAATGGCTAAAGGTAGTTTCTTCTGTGGGGAAATACAAGTTTCTTGACCAGTATCACCAGTGTTTAGCTACACATCAATTGCAAACTACTTACTTTTCTGCTTTTTAGTTATTTCTCCCATTTTTTTGGTAACCAGCTTTCTCGTAAACCAGAAGACACTGGAATGGAAGTGGAAGCACTGCTTCCCTATTAAATAGGGTACTGTTTTGTTGCCAATGGGAACATAGGTTGTATAAAGTTAATGCATGCTTGAATCGCTTTTCCCATAATTAACAGCATAACTCATTTCAAAAAGCAACATTGTTCTTCATTTTGCAGCCAGTCTTTAATATTGTTCCTCTTTTTCCCAAACCATGCTGCATCAGATGATGGTGAATAGGACAACTGAGGTACCGAGATCCAAAATTTTTAATTACTCTTTCTCTTACTTAAAATTATCTTCTCTGCTCTCTAGCAATATTTCTTTATTATTTAGCACTAAAAGTGAATATATGGCTCTTTTTAAATGCATAGAGGTATGTGGCTCAGCAAGCCTGTTTTTATTCATCCTTTGTCTTAGTATTTCTTATTTCTGTCACTATTGAAGTAACCTTTTGAGAATTCACATGAGTTCAAGGAAGTCTGAAGCAAGTAATGGAGCTGAGGGGACAAAGATGCTTTTCTAGCTTTATTTCAGTAATCATGAAAACTCTCTCGGCATAACTACATTAAGGTGTCTGGCTCAGCCAGAATAACAGTAATATTCATTTACCTTCTTTTACAGTAATAAATATAATAAAATCTTCCAAGGTAGAAACTTGTTCAGAGCATATGCTTGCTTTTACCATTGTTCTTAGTAAGATATTTTCAATAAAGATTTGCAAAATCTAAGGGATAGCGCATAATCACAGTTTACCTGTCGAAGATGATATTACATTTCTCATACAGATTCTGGAAATACCAGCTCTCCAAGCACTGCCACTAAAAACCAGGGGTCTGATTGACCAGAAATGGGATTAGTCCCCTAAAGATTATTGTCATGTTTAGGAAAAAGAATTCTTTCCAACAACATGGTCATTATTTAAACGCCCACTTTTAAATAATGCAGTTTCTTGGTTAGATGAGGGAATGAATTTTGAATGCACTCACCTGTGTGAGAAGGTGCCATGAGGCAGTGGGTGATATGAGTTGAAAGGCTGACAGCTTCTGTCTGGCGTGTGCCCAAGGACATGTACCATGTATTCACTATGGTAATAAAAGTGAAGGGGGCACCTCTCCTTCACCCACCATGGAAGTTCCTTCTCTGTACCTTGCCTTTGTCACCAGGCAGACATGTGTCCATAAGTAGGTAGTTGTTAATGCAATATACATTCAATCTAAAGCTAAACATAGTATCATAGTTTGTGCCCAATATCCTCAAGAAGACTATGAATTTAGTGAGTGTGTGGCTACAATGACCAGAATCACCTGTGGGCTAACAAGAAAGTAAATGGAATTAGGGTAAAATAGTTGGCCAGCTGCCATACCTTTTGGGAATAAAGTAGATTTTGGAGTGCAACATATGCCTACATTTCTTTATTCCACAAGTAGTTTAAAATGATGAATTGTATGATGAAAGAAATGAACCTAGTTGAAAATACAGTATAGTCTGGAAGTATTTCTGTCTCAAACAGTAATATCTGATCAAATCAGTGTACAGGATTTCAGGGAAACCTCAAAAGCAAGGTCCCTTCTACTTGAATTACTAATGAGACTAAGAGCTTGCTCTGTATCCTAGTTTCTGAAAAATTAATATTTTTTCTGTTGTCAAGCAATTCTGTATCTCATAGCCAGAGCAGGTTTCACCTTCTAGTGATCAAGAAGCAGTACGTAAATGGTGTTTTTTCTGATGTAAAGATGGCAAGGTTTCTCCGAATCATTTGAGATCCAAATTGTGTACAAGTATAAGTAATTATGATTCTTATACTGTTATTTATATTCTTATATTCTTATACTAAGTAGTTTTTCATGTACACCAAATTCTTGGTTTACATACTGAATAACTACTGCTTTAAAAAAAAAATAAAAAAATAAAAAGGAAATATCTTGTCACTGTTTCTAATTCTGAGACCAGCAAAATAAGAGTCCCAACAACTTCTGTGGTCATTTATCCAAAACCACTGAACAGTTGCAGCCCAAAAGACCCATGTTGCTTCCAGATTTTAATAAGGAAACTTCTTTTATTTTCTTTAAGAATGGTTAATATATATAATAATGCCTATTATAATGTCTCATATATAATTTCTATGATGAAAAGTACTTTATTGGCCATTGATTCAGGAGACTGACTTGAGGAATGAAGCACTTTTGATAACCTCTCATATGAGAACTGTACTCTCTGCCTGAAAGACTGTGCTATATTACAGCTGAATGGATAGAATTGGCACTATCTGTTTGATTACCAGCAGCTTTTAAAATCCAGTTCTAGTGAAGCCAATTATATTGTATAAAATTATTTCTATAATGAGGGCTGTTTCCCTTTGTAGAGTGGCTTTACACCTTTGCACATAGCTGCGCACTATGGAAATGTCAATGTGGCAACACTGCTGCTAAACCGAGGGGCTGCAGTTGATTTCACAGCAAGGGTATGGAGTTCTTTCTTTCTCTTCTTACTATGAAAGTGGGAGTGTCTCTTTGTATAATTCTGAGTCAAGAGTAAATGAGCAGTAATGTAATGAAGTTCTGTTGTGTTAAAAGATGTCTTTTTTTTCCAGCAATTCTTAAAGGTTGCCTCAGTGCAGTGCACCAGGGACCTTGGGAGTTGAGTAGCAACCAGTATTCCCAGCTGAAGGAAGCAGGCTCCTTTTACTAGCTCCATAAAATTGATATGCTCAGAATGTGCCAACTGACTTCAGCTTTTCTGTCAGTTAGGTGTCCTTCAGAAATATATGAGGATTTATTGGCTTTTTCAGTATTAAGTATTTGCTGTACTACTTTAATATATTTCCACATACAAACATTTGTGAGGACTTTCACCCTAAACAGGACCTACTCCTTTATGCTGTTGGCATTACACTGGGAAAGTTCCTTCATGTAGGAGTCGCACATTTGTGTAGCCTGTGTATGTTGCAGTGATTTAAATGCATCAGTGTTTTGTGGATATTGACTCATTGGAACTCTGATGTATGTTTGTCTATTTGACCCTGAGACTGTGGTGTTCGCTGCTTTGTCAGATGTGCTGCTCCGTTTATTAAAAAAACCCAAGCAAATTTTGCTTAGGAAGGAATTACTAACTCTAGTTAGTTTCTATAGTGTATGCCTAGCTCTGATGCTCACGCATATTTTTGTTTATTCTCTACAACGTGATGGTCTCAGCTTCTGTGATCCGAACACAAATTCACCACCGTTCTATGCCTTCAAAGTCATCATGCTCATTGTTTGTTCTTTTCATGGTGTAGAATGGAATCACCCCACTACACGTGGCTTCCAAAAGGGGAAACACAAACATGGTGAAACTCTTGTTGGATCGCGGAGGGCAGATTGATGCCAAAACCAGGGTGAGTCTTTCTATTCCCTGAATATGATATTCTCCCTTTGGGGAATGGATTGGGATTATTTACTTGTTGGGTGTTTTTTTTTCATTGTTGTTTTTTAAGCCAGAGACTGGGAACATGAAAATTCATTGCTAGGAATTCAACCTCAGTAACTGTGTCTCGTTCTCTGTTCTGAAAGTGAGACTTTAGATGTGGCTGTGACTCAAACCCCAAAAGTTCACCTTAACACAGCTCCAAAAATGTTAAACATTGATCCTCACAAGTGTACACTTTTTGAAACATGAACAAAATATAAATTGTGACTCCAAAAATAATTTATAAAGATTTTTTTTTTCTTTCAATTTGGAATCCTACCTTTACTTTTCAGATTGTTTTGTGTAGACTGCTTTCTGCCTAAGGAATGACAGACATTGGTGACAACAGGAGACAGAAATACTATTTGTTTTAGTCTCTGTATAATGTACCTACACGATAGAAGAAAAAAATATGATGAAACTGATCATTCTGAGGAAATAAGCCTGTTGATGGGTCGAGCTTCAGGTGACATGAGAACATGTATGCTGCATAGCAGTGGGAAGTGGAAGGACTGCAGTCAGCTAAGTCTTTAATCCCCCAGACTCCTCAATATGTGTGTCAGTCATAGCATGCCTTATGAAAACTGCTGTAGTGGGCTGCCAGTCACTCTTTATTGAAGAGTCAATATTGAAGAGTGGGAACAAGTAACCTGCTCTGTGCCAGCAGTTGCTCGCCTCTTCTAATGAACTAACTGCAGAGAATGAGGTGACTCTCCCAGCTGTCTTGTTGAAATGCCAAATTGATACTGTGTTCTCTATTTATGGGTGATTTCGCAGTCAACCAGGACAAAAAAAAAAAAGCCATCAATTTATATGGGCAGGGTTAATTATTTCAAATGGGGTATTGGAGTCAGTTATGTGGACTGAACTACACAAGACTCGTTCTTGCAAGCTGCTGTTCTTTAATTACTGATCTGCAAAATTATGTCTCCAAGTAATAGAGGGTATTTTAGAACAGAGAGTAGAGCTGGATATAAGAGGTTTTGTTTAACAAAGTAGAAAGGTAGAGAATACTGCAGTCAACTACCCTTCTGGTTGATTCAACCTCTGCAGTCACTTTGGTATTAATTACACCAGCCATTTGTTGCTTGATAAGATAGGAAGACAGTTGTGATTATTGTGGAACTCTGTATGTGGTTATGATTTTGATTTCTGCTTGTTTATGAAATGACGTCTCTCTTGCCTTTAAAATTATTATTATTTTTTTTTTATTTTAAACAACAACGTTCTCACTATTTTAAACTGCAAAGATGATGCTAAGTTCTGCTTCTCATGAAGGTGTGCAACAAATCATCCCTGGTCAAATTTTCCACAATAGGTGCCTAAAAGCTTATGGTAAAGAGGCTTGAAAGGGTAGTAACACACTGCATTCAGGGTATTCCACATACTCGTAAGCAGAGCAGTCATACAGAAATGGCCCGTTTGGCCTGTGGAATGAGAGTATTGAATTCACTTATTTCCTGTTCAGTATTTAGTTGCTTGCTTCAGACAAGCTGGCACAGGTGATTATAAAGGACGTGTTGGATTTTGAGAGGTCAAGGTGTATTCCCTTCCCCACTTAACCTGCAAAGATTGATGTGCAGTTGTGAATGAAACTGAAAGAACAGGTCTTTGCCCAGCGTAGGTGGATGGTTCTAATTTTAGAGTCTTCTCATTGTCTTGGCTTCCTGCCCTTTATTAGCTGCTACATTAGCTGAGAAACTATCAGCACAAAGATAACAGTGAAAACCCGTGAAGGTATCCTAAAGCACAACACATATCCCAGTTTAAACAGACTCAGCAGCTTCCTCTTGCTTTATCTCTGCCTTCTTCCTGCTCAAAGGCACATGGTGGTGATTGTCTCTACTTGACAGGGGGGAGGATTCCAGAGATTTGGTTTTGCCATCAGCATCTCTGTTGCGTGATCTTGTCTTCAGGCCAGCTGTTTATACCATCTCAGTGTCTTTTTCTTTTCCCTTGGCTTTGTCCGCATGCTTTGTGTGCTTTGCTATGGCCGTGAGTATGTAGGGTATGGAAGAGGTAGGTTGGGTGTTGCATGCCACGCATACTTGTGTTTTGTATGTTAAAGGCCTCCTCCATCTCGGTACTGACATGCTTGCCTTTCCATGCTTGCTTTTTCATTCCTTCTGAGGAACACCTGCATTCTTCCAGTAAAAACAGAAAAGGGTGGAATTAAATATACTACTAGGATATTTCATTGCCAGATAGCTTGGGCTTTTATTCTTGTTCTCCATGCCAAATTAAAATAAGCTCTGTGGTTAAAAAAGTACTCATTGCTTTCATTCAGCTTAATTTTAACTTGCTTTATCACATGCCATCTGATGTTGCATAAATTAAGATGCAAAACCTTATTTCAACAGATTTTAGATGAGCCTCAGTTTCTCTGAACTGATCTGTGAAATCCTGTGTTTGGAAGTGTTCCATTGGAATGATCCATCAGGAGCCCATGTTGTAAAAAAAAAAAAAAAAAGATAAAAATTTTAAAATTACTCCCTCTTCAAAGGGAGGGAGTTATGCATGTGTCCTACTGCTCCATAGTTAATGTTGCATGTCAAAGGAAAGCCCTGCTTATTGCAGGAATTAAATATTTTTATTTGTTCTGTACATTTTGTAATGTATTTGCTGAAATTTTATTGCATTTCTCAGTAGACTATGAAGATTAGACTCGCTACTAAATCCACTTACTGCACTTATTTTAAAATAATATTTAATTCCTTTTTTTTTTGGTAATTTTTACCATTTTTCTCAACTAACTACTAGATAAGCTTTTTAAATGCGGAATTTCATTTCTGGCTTATATTGTATCTACGGCAAAAATGGAAACTATGTATCTACACCAGTTATATTTAGTCACAGGCTGTGGTCAGGAGTCAGGAACTGTTCTTTAAAGCAACATCTCCGAAAGATGGTGGAAAGCTCAATTTACGATTAAATGTATGTGATGTGGTCAAGAGAAACGTGGCAATTACCAACTCTCACTTCGAGAGGAGGAAAGCATTTACAGCCTTCCAGAACCATTATAAGGATTATTACAAGAAGAATTATTTTAAGCATATAAGGCAGAGCAATTTTAGCATGGCCAAAATATAGATGTTTCTATTAAAAAAAAACAAATGATATAGTAAATAAATTATATAGTAACAGTAAGAGTATGCAGGACATTGAAATGTTACTATTTAAGGGGTTTTAGGAGTATTCTTTTTGAATGCAGTTTTTGTAGTACCTGTATTTTTATCATTTCTCTATATAAATTGTATAGAAAAAAACCCCCAACAAAGTGAGAATGTGATGCTTTTTCAGGTTTGCATGCTTTTTTGCTTTTGAAATACAGAGTATTCACAGGCCTTTGCTACCTTACTGGCATTTCCACTTTTTTGGTCTATGCAGACATGCTTAGAAAGGGGTGAGGAGCATGTCCACCTGTCTCAGATGCTGAAGTTGTCACAAATTTTGTATTCTTTCTATTGACTCTTGCGAACATTGAAATGAAATTTTTCTTGTTCTGGGACTTCTCTTTAGACTCCTCTCACAGGTTCTTGTCCAGAATATTTACAGTTGTAAAAAAAATCCCTAGAATGAAACAGAGCATCTACTCTTGGAATGAAAGCTTATTGTGTGGGGAAGGTACAGATATTGTGTGCCTGGAGTGTGGCAGCTGGAGCTGGAGAGGGTAGTAGACGTGGTAATGGTGGGAACAAAGTCTGCTGTGTCAGTTGGATTGGAGAAGGGCCATGGAAAAGAAAGGAGCTCAGCTTTCAGCTCAGCTGGAGCTGAAAGAAGTGTAAGGTTGGTCATAGAGATGGGTGGTATAAATGGGAAAAGGAAGGTGTCTTGGGGAGGGGTGGAACTGAGATTTTTTTTGTTTTGGTGTTGGTGGGGTTGAGTTTTTTGTGGTGAATGTGCTGAAGTGAATGTCCCTTAACACTCATTCTGGGAACCTCCTGAGGTTTATTTGTAATCATGTCTTCTTTTGTATGTATGCATCCTAACAAAACAGGCATGGCACTCTGCTATTTCCACATAGCAGTGAGTTTCCTACCTTAAAGCCATTGTAGCAGGATCCTAATCCTCACTTGGCACTGTGCTACATTTACAGTATTTTTTTTTCTGCAGTAATGCTGCTGTGACATTTTCTCTGAGTCTACACGCATGCACAGAGCAGTAATATTTCATTTACAGTTCTTGCCATTTCTAAAGCAATGTCAAATTATAAATACCTAATCACAGTGCAGACATTTGCTATTAAAAATGTGGTGAATTCATATAAAGCTTACAAGGGAGAAGGAAAAGATGTGCAGAATATCTAAGCAAGCTATATAGATAGTGAGTTATTTAGAATGATTTAAGTTAGTATCTTCAGACTTAAGCAAATATGTGATATATTTTTTGCTGTGTTTTTTAAATTTGTACTTTGGATGGCAGACCTGGAGGAATGGTTTAAAGCATGCTTAATTCTGCCAAGACTCTGAGAGCTTTGAGCAAGAGGGAGCCTTGCCTTGTTCGTTTTTAAAGAGAAGAGGTTTAGTAGTAATGAAAAATGAAGGAATGAAAAGGCCTTTATTTGTGGAGACAATTCAGACAATTTTGCACGGCTAACATACAGAATACTAACATTTTGTTTACCCTTACAAAAATGAGAATATGCAGCTGCAGTTTAGAAGAACTCTTTGATAATTTGAGCTTTGATGTTCATGTGCTATCATCAGGCTTCATTCGAATAAGCACCAATGTGTGCAGCTGCCCCTCTACTGAGATGCTGCCCACATGATTTCCCATTAAGAATCTCTTGTAAGCACAGCTTCTTATTATCTCGGTCTCTCTGAAAAGCTGAAGTAAAGTATTTTAATCACTGTGAAAACACCCAGTCGTCTATCTTCATTTATCTTTGCTTAAAATATTACCAGGGATTGATTTTCAAGGAAAAAAGTTTACCTTCTATTTTGAGAGCCATTTAAGAGGAAATTAGGAGAGGTGGAATTTGGTGGCTTCCACACACACAGAGGGGGTTGTAGTGTCATATCTAAGTCATCCAGCTACTGGTTACATTGCAAAGTGTGAACCAGCAGAGTACCACATGTGCAAGACAGAACATCCAGTGCAGGATGTCATTTGGAAGATGAAAACATCTAACTCCACTTATCTCCATTATGTACTCTTTGGGATGAGGAGATAAATATTGGGCTTCTTAAAATAGCAAATTGCTGAATTCCTTTTCTCCCAGCATGGCAGCCTTTATGTTTATGGAATATCAATTATCTGTGCTTCCAAGTCTGTCTCTTTGGCCCGGTGTTGTATCTCCTGTCAAATGATGCGTTTGATATTTTGTTCAGTATGTGTTCTTCAATTTTTGTGATATGGAATGATCAGATAAGTTCATAGGCAAATTCCTGCAATAGATTTCAGAACATTGAGGTTCATTGCAGGTGGATAACGGTGCAGAAGAGGACTTACTTGGTGCACCAGTGTGTCTCCTAATACTGGCTAATGTCAGTTTGTGCTCATTATGTTATGTACTAAACCTTCTACTACAACAGCTCTGTCTTTGCAATTTCTCTCATCTTTGAAGAAAATATATGAGCAAAAATCAAATCTAAAGTATTAAATATAGAATGATTTTAAAATATACATGCTGTTTTCCCCAGGGCAGAAAGAGGGAAAAGAAGAGGGCTATATGGAAGGCTGCAAAGCATTTTGCTTCATGCACCTTCTGGGAAGTGCACAGGCAGTAAACGATGATGCATTTATAAAAGCTATGAGAGGATAGAATAGGATACAGAGCAAATTTTTCTGTCTTGTTTTAGAGAGAATTGTAAGGACAGAGGAGAAATTGATTTAGTTCTTATTTCTATTGTAGCTAGACTTCCTTGTGGAGGTCTTCCTTGTGAATGTGCTTTTTGCCTTGTGTTTTAATTCTGATTTCTCCCTCTGGGGATTTGTCCTGTTTTTCTGACGGGTTCACACAATTCTGCCTTTCTATTGCTGTACTATTAAATCAAATAGCATGAAAGTGACTATGCAGATACGGAAAGTGAACCTCCCACATTGATTAAAAATGTAGAGCACAAAAGGTCAGAAACTGAACAGAAATCTGAAATAAATATCTTGCCTAGAAATACATTTTGGGATATATTCTCCCCTTAGGAATGCTAGTGGGAATTATATTTATGAATGCGTCCGGCAGCAAGATGAAAATAGACCTCAGTTGTGCGTATAAAGACTTGATTTAGGGCACTTTGAAGCTTCAGCACAGAAAAGATTCCCCTTCATTGACCCACTCAGACAGGTGCTGAACAGCCTTGAATTCTGTTGGCAGGTTTGATCTTGCATCTGGTGAATTTCATTGCAAGCTTCCATGGGATTTAGTGATGACTTTGCCTCTATGATAGTGAGTATCAAGGCACGCCCAACCCTTTCAGTAGTTCTGAAAACTCACTGGGAACATAGATAATGGAGAAGAAGTCCTCCTTGCAGACTTCTAGGAGCTTTGTTGCACTGCCAATTCAGAAAGGTGCTTCGTGCTTTTGAAACTGAGGATCTGGTTCTTGGAACTACCTTTTGCAGAGTGTAAGAAGGCTAGGTTTGCATAGCCTGAATGATGTTACAATTGTGATGGCACTGTGCAGTCTAGAGCTACTTTTAATTTAAAGATTATAGTAGTACAAGTAAAAATATAGTGACACAGACTTCCTCTAAACTCCAGCAAGACCAACAGTACATCTGTGCATGAAGCTATGTAGGTCACTAACTCATGCTTAGGACCATTTTTTTTTTGCTACTTTTTTAACCTCTAAGTAATAAAGTTATCTCTGATCAATGCGTTCATCTTTTAATTGTCCTGTTACTGGATTCTTCATAAAGCACCCTAGAACGATAGTATCTCCTTCATCTGACATGCGCAATGTATCTCAAAAGGAGAAGGCTTTTCTTGTGTTTAAAAACTTTTACTACTTCACCTTTATAAACCTATTTCTACTGAATGAGTATTGACTTCTCTGAGTACATGCTTGAACAAGATCAAGGTCTAAGGAGTTGAAAACGTGGGTTTCTGTTTTTTTGAGCATTTTCTTTTTTCTGTCATTCAGCACAAATGGTTTTTTGCAACCATTTCACTTGCCTTATTTTTGTTGTGTTTTTTCTGCATAAAGTCTAAACTGTGGCAGAATTACCTAGAATGCATTCTCCAATCAAAATGTTTCATTGACGCTTATTTTGCTACCACTGCTGTGATCATACTGAGTAGCCTTTCAGGATAGGGTGGTGTTCCACAATGGAAAAAATATTGTGGAGTTGGTGGTCTCAGAGCAATTTTAGCAGGAAATTGTTAACTTCTTGTTCACCACTCAATATCAGAAACAAAAGGATTTGTTCTGTTTGTTTCTCTCTTTCTCTGTTTTAAAATTGTCTTTGTTCTGCTGCCTGTTAAAAAATAAATAAAAATATTCTAGAACATTTTTTGTTTCATCCCTGCAACAGATGCAATCAAAAGGACAAGTGTTGGTTAATGGAGCATCTTTGGCCCAGCATATATTTTCCAGGGAGAGGCAATACAATCTCAAAGCCATGCAGAGGAGAAGGAGGGGAGGAGGAAATTCATGCTTCCATTATCCTCTTTAGTAAGAGATTTCAACACATAGTGGGGCTCCCTCTGAAACAGTAACCTTAGAGTGACTTTTACTGGTGCAAGGAAGAGCAGGGATGAAACTTCATGTTGAGGAGCCAGCTTCAGTTAGGAGTCAAAAAAAAAACGAGCTTTTTCCCGTGCTTGTGGGGCTGCATTCTTGGAATGGTGTTCCTCAGAGTGCTAGGATGGATAATTGGGGATGTGCTCATTTGTTTTCCCTCCTTTTACTTTAAGGATGGACTCACTCCACTCCACTGTGCTGCAAGAAGTGGACATGACCAAGTTGTGGAGCTGCTCCTGGAACGAGGTGCCCCGCTGCTTGCACGGACCAAGGTGTGCGTCTTGCTAGAGTATGTTAACAGATCTATGTAACTTTCCACAGCATTTTTAATGTCACTGAAAGGATAAGGAAGACGACAGGAACATTTCTGTTCTCCCAAAGGAAATGTATTAATGGGTAGAATGATCCAGAATAAGGGTTTATTACATAATTAGGGATTATCCTTTCCAAATACATGAAACATTATGCACTTCTTTGCCCCTCTCTGTAACATCATACTAAACACATGGTATACAGTGCTACAGCAAGCACTTTGCTTTTATTGCTTCTTAAGAGTTTTCTCTCTTAGATGAGAAAGGCGGGTCAGTCAGTCCTGGTGGACAACTCCTGGTATAGATTTCCAGTCTTTCCTCTAAGCTAACTAGGACCTTTGGCTTGCAGCTTCTCCTAATTGTTTTCATGGACTATTTCAGAGTTGGAAAATTATTTTAGTATGTTCTTAATGGTTTCTGAAAAGCAGATGTCTAAGATTAATGTTTCCTACAAATGTTGTCCCTTTAGTCAAACTAATGAGTGGAAGATACTTGTAGGGTAATAGTGAACCCCACTGAACAGCACTTCAGAGTGCCTGACAGACGATTATTATCATTAGTTGTAAAACAGTGGAATAGAGTATTGCAATGACATGCTTGTGGTCCCCTGGAAGATCAGGAGGGCTAAACAATTTAAGTAACACTTTAAGACTGTTGTACTGTTTACTGGGTCCCACTCCCTCGTCCTGTCGCTCAGACAAGGGCAATTAGTGGATTCTGATCCATAGTTATCCTTATTGGAGCCTCAGGATAGTTCTCTTGATAATCTTTAGGAGGTGTTATTTCTGGGTTGCAAGCCTATCAAATAAGGATGTGCTCAAGCTATTCATCCTTAATAGCACCAAGTAGCCCACGTCATCTGTTTATGCAGGAGGGATCCACAGGGAGATGGGAATTGTAAGGGAAGGATTCTTCATTATTTCAGTGATTCCTTTGGTGAGAGAAGGTGAATTTCATGTATCAGCACCCTCACTTCACTAAGAGGTAGTGAGGTTCGGAAGAATAGACCCTGCCACATAAATTGTGCACTCTCTAGGCAGGATTCCCAGATGTTGCCATTCAAAGACAGATGTTGCTGGTGAGGACAAACTACCAGCATTGCTGTGGCAGCATCTGGACCTCCCCACTGTGTTGAGGATTGAGCAGAGCAGAACTGCACTAGTGAATAATTCTCTCCTTCGAAGTGAGCACACCTGTTTGAATCAGTGTTTGAGTCAATTTGAGCACACCAAGTCAGTTACCTGTTCAAGTCTATATGTTACAATCTATCTTCAGGTGTGCAGTAATTTTTATGTACCTTATTGCATGTCAAATGAAATTAGATTTAAATGCAAATTCCTCCAACTTAAACAGATGGTTGCAAACTGGAGACAGATAAATATGCAAATATTAGAACTATTTTTACGTATTAGTAGCAACAATTCTCTTACCTTTTAGTTGTTTACCTTCCATGGACTTCCATATTTACAAAAAGATGTATTAAAGCCAGACAGGGCTACAAAGGTTCTGCTTCCACTGCCCTTCAAGTGTTAACGGTTTGAATAAAAGGTTCAACTATGGTGGTGGTTGAAAGTATCATTTCCCAGCAGTTCGGGGATTGTTTTTTTCAATATAATTGTTTTTTTCATTTACACTTGAAGGAAAAAAAAAAAGAAGAAACTCCTTAGTAAACATGATGGATAAGTAGGACCTTTTCCTCTAATTAGCATGGAATCTATGTCTTAGTGTTATGATGAGTATCCCCAAAACTGTCTTTAAAGGTCAAGGTATGTTTTATTAAATTACAAGGCAAGGCCCTTAGATTCTTCTGCTTTGATTAAATTCAGATTTTTAGTTAATTATATAATGTTCCTCTAAATTTGTGTGTATTTACCGGAATGAAAGGGTGGTTATAGCTTTTTTTTTTTTCAGCTTTTCTTCCAGTCTGTTGAAATGTGTCTCTGGTTTAGTGACAGGGGGATTCTGCAAACTCATAATGGCATCCTTCTAATATGTGTCACGATCTAAGTGAGAATTACTGGAAGTTACTGTTCTGTTTTCTTTTACCACAGAATGGACTCTCTCCCCTTCACATGGCGGCCCAGGGGGACCATGTGGAGTGCGTCAAACACCTCCTGCAGCACAAAGCTCCTGTGGATGATGTCACACTGGATTACCTGACTGCCCTCCATGTGGCTGCACACTGTGGCCACTATCGTGTCACCAAACTCCTTCTGGACAAGAGAGCAAACCCCAATGCTCGTGCCCTGGTAAACCTGTCCCATCTGTGCTGTGTAACAAAGTTTTCCAGGACAGATGATTAGCTCTTACTAGTAAAGCGAAGTTAGAATTATCAGCAAACTCCCAACAACCTCAAATAGTTGCAGTTACAACAGAGGTTCTCACACCTGCTGGTTGCCACTATTATATCTTGTAACCTAGGCCTAGTCAGGGACCACATCCCATGAGAAGTGGCTGTAGTGTCAAGCCTGGCAGTTTTATAGAGTTCCTAAAATCAGAGCCATTTCTAGTTGCTGCTAACATAGGCATTGGTATTTTACTGCATTAATAATTTGGTTTTCCATACTATGTGATAGGATACACAAATAATTTCTAAGTTTCATCCAAATCAGTAAGTTAATTGGCATAGAGAAAATATAAAAAGCTAATATTTCTGCATTTATCAAATTGTGACATTCCTCTCTATTAGATGCTACTTTTCTTCCTTTTCAAAAACCAGTTTTTCTGATGCTTACAGGAAATCAGTTTTCCTGATGCTTACAGGAAAACAACTATGATTCTTTTCACTCACTGATCAGACCCCTGTCCCCTAACTGAGAGAAAAACATCCTATTTGGTTTCAGGAACATCTAAAGCTTTCAAGTGTCTTTAATCTGTCCAAACCCAGACAAGATTTAAATTTTCACTAATGGGAAGTCTCTATGAACTGTTAGCTGGATGAAAGTTACAGTACCAATATATTACACTCGGGGGGGGGGTGGGGTGTGGCGGGGGGAGAAGAAATAGACTGAACACTTGAGATACTTCTGCATGGCAAGAAGTCTGCCACTGCCTGCTGTATTCAGTGCCTCCACAGAACTTCCACTGCTCTGATGTCTTCCCCAGCTTCTTGCCTTAAGTATGACCCTGTGTTTTACTGTGAAGGCTCCACCTGTCCCTTACTTCCCTTACTTCCTTGGAACTGACTTTATATGTTGACGCAATTTTCTTCTGCTCTCTTATTTTTCTTAGCCTGTCTATACCCGCAAATCCTTCCTTTTCTTAGCTTTTCTTGTGTCTTTCTCAGTATCATGTTCACTTGACCTTTTTCGATGTTGTTTTCATCCTTCCCTATTTTTCTTGCCAGTCTTCTCATTATCTTTAGCTGTACTTTCCTAGCTACCCCCCTCCCCCCCATTATATGCTAGCCCTTCTTCCATAACCAGAAATACACCTTTTGTTCCTTCACTCCTCTGCCTTTGTCCCAGAGAAACACCTGAAATGAAAGGAGAACACTCTCAGGCTGCCATCTCTCTGCTCTCTTTCCTCCAGACTTCCCCACCCCCCCCCCCCCCCCCCGTTTCCTCTCACATCAGGGGCTTGTCACCTCCAGTTTGTTTATAGTTTTTAATATATTAAATGATGCTCATAATTTCTATTAGTGATATGGGTGGTTTTTTTCTGCCTTCTCCTCTCCCCTAACAAACTGTTCCTCACTTAAATAGAAGTAGTGAAATGAAATCAGCTCAGGCAGTGAAGTGGAAAAATGGAAACTTCTGAAACTGTAACACTCCCTAAGAAATATATTGAGAGATATTGTGCAGGAGGTAAAATAGCTAATGTTTTGATTCCTTCTTTAGAAATTGTAGAAGGCTAATAGTAGTAATAATATTCATTAGAGTCCTGGGTTGCAATAAATTTTACAAATAATTCATTTTCAGCGAAGTTTAAAAAAATCTTGTTAATATTTGCAAAATAATTTGAGGATACAAGCATTGTATGAGTTCTTAACTTTTTCAGTTTGTATCTGCTTTAAAGAACTTTCAAATCAACCAGTAATTAACATTTCCCTTAACAGAAACTGACTGCAGAATAATCTATCACGTGCCCCTTCCTACAAGCTAAGATTTCACTGATGAGTTTTGTTTACTGTTAGTTGATTGTTTAGCAGCACTGATCATTTTCATTAGAAAATACATCAGTTTTTCAGCATTATCCAAAATGTTACATGTGCTTTTTACTAAAATGTTCACATGTGGTGAATAATGTATTTGTTTAGCATTAGGCACACACTTAACCTGCATTAATTATAACAGCACATAGCAAAAGCTTGAAGTCAAAGCCTCTAGTGCAGTACAGAGTATGAAGTTATACTTTGATTTGGGCTCCAATATTGATGAGTAAGCATCTCCAAAGAAATGAGCGTGTACTGATGGCAAGCACAACACTAAAACTCTTGTCTCACATACAAAATGCTAGGTTGCACTATTGATTTAAGATGTTCCTTTCCTCATTCATTTCTGTCTCTGCCCCATTTATTTTTAAATCTGGATGAGGACTGCACCCTTGCTTCATGACTCAGCAGGGCAGAAATAAAGGAAGAGGGGGCACAGATCCTTCAAGAGTGAGCACTCTATTGTGAAACCATAGCTGAAGGAGTGCTGATTTATTTAAGACACCTCACAGAATGCGCGCGCACACACACACACACACACACAAACATGAAAACAGTGTACTGTAAATGCATGCATAAGCGTAAAAATCAATACATAAGGTGCTTGGATTACAAGATATTCTAAAATGACGAAGTAAGGTGCAATCCAGAAGTACTCTGTCCCTTTCCTAGAGAGGTATGGAATATGCTCTGTACATTTCCAAAGACACTAAGTGATTCAAATTGATCACTATAATTTCTTACATGTTACTTGTATTAGGCAAACTTGGGAACCACTTTAAGTCATCCTCACATATACACGTGCACAGCCTTCAGAACCACATGTGAAAATCGTAGCTGCATGTTTCTGACTAACATGACTATCTTTTGCACAGAATGGTTTTACTCCACTGCACATTGCCTGCAAGAAAAATCGCATCAAAGTCATGGAACTCCTGGTGAAATATGGGGCTTCAATCCAGGCTATAACAGAGGTAGAAAAATGTTTCATGTCCTGAAGAAACATTCCTTCTCTCTCTCCCTTTTTTGCTTCCTTTTTTCTCCTGTCGTGCCTCACTTTCACTTATGTTTTATTTAAACGAAGAAGCCCCTTCCCTGTGCCTGTGCAGAGGAGTAAAACTGCTCTTGCTTTGTTTCGCAGTCTGGCCTCACACCAATACATGTGGCTGCATTTATGGGCCACTTGAACATAGTCCTCCTTCTGCTGCAGAACGGAGCCTCTCCTGATGTCACTAACATTGTGAGTATGGCTTTGACTAGAATCGTTTGTGCAATACCTCCTCCAAAAAGGGTCTGGCCTACCATATAGCTCAACCAAAGGTCACATTTTAGTGATTCCTTATGACTTTGTTGCATTTAGGGCAAATTATTCCAGCACCTTTAGTGAAGCTGGGAAAATGGTAATTGTCTATGCATTATAAGCCATCTGTGGTTTCATGTATTCTTCTTGAGTAGGCAGTTTCCCCTAGAAACAGGCAAAGCTCATCAAATACATCACAAAATTATATAATGGGGAAGACTGTGTTTCCATTCTGAATGGTGAAATTTAAGCCTACATGGCTCTGATTTCTACTTGCATAGCTTCACTGGCTGCCATGAAATTGCATCATTTGCGTTAGTGAAAAGGTATAAGATGCTTAAACCCTAACAATTAGACAAAAAGTAAAAATGCTAAATTCAAGACGTTCCTCTCACACAGGAAATTCCAGGAAGTGGTGCCTTTTGAAAGAACATGCTTAAATTTAGAATATGTCACCTTTGGGAGGTTACAGAAAATGCGGAACCTGACTTACCATAGAAATCAGTGTTTGTATATCAAAAATAGCCTAGTTACCAAGAATAACAACAACTAGAAGACCATGATGGTTTTCTGAGCTGTATTTCACAGGTATCTTACTGTTCAAATTTGTCAGTGTAACCAAATGCTTAACTTATGACCACCTGTCCTTTGACAGCAGCTTTTTACCAGACAATAAGGTTATAGATAAGTGTTCCCCAAAACAAACAAACAAAAATCTAGTAATCCAGGTAGTGGACTCATGAGTTTTTCTCAATTAGAAAAATCTAATATGGAAAGATGTTGAGCACATTGAGATGTTTGCTTGAATTATTTGAATGGACTCCTTGACAAAGTCTCTTATTGCTTTCACACTTTGTAATACTCTTTATATAAAAAAATTATTGATGATGTGAAAGCCAACAAGGATTCATCTTGTAAGCAATTAAAAGTATTGTGTTACCAGACGTCTGTATGCACAGTTTAACACGTTACAACTTACTCTACACAGGGGTCTTGGGTTTTACTTGGTAAGCTGGAGGTCCCAATTAAATTACTGTTTCCAAAAACTAAACTGCATTGCTAATTCAAGTACAAAAGGGTCTTTACAGAAGTTTGATCTTTAGAGTGTGTGAAATGTAAACCTTATTCACATTTTAAACAGATCATACCTGAAGTTTATATGAATGACATTCTCTATTAAGATTTGTAGCTAGGGCTGTGGGATTTTTTTGTTACCTTCTGACTAATCACAACTGTTAATACAATGTTAATTTTAACATTACAAGATAAATCAACTCCTGATGAGGAGGATTTGCTTAAATTAGCAGTTCATACTAGTAGGCAAGCTCAGGCTGCTTCTTTTCCTACATGTAGATGAAGGACAAAAAGACATGATTGCTGATTCTGCTGCAAACGATCTCGACCATTCGAGAAATGAGCACAGCAGGGTGTTCATTTTGCCAACTGCAGTTTAACTTGGTAGTGCTATGGGTAAAAGCCTTAAAAGAGATCTAGAGTAAGGAGAAGAAACAACACTAAGATGTCGTTGATCCTGTTGTGTTGTCATAGAATCACAGCCTGCTTTGTGTTGGAAGGGAGCTTAAAGTTCGTCTAGTTCCAGTCTTCCTAGCAGGGGCAGGGACACCTTCACTAGACCAGGTTGGTCCAAGTCCTTTCCAGTCTGGCCTTGAACACTGCCAGGGGTGTTATGTCATAACATGTAGATAAATGCAGAGCTCCTCGTTGTGGAACTGTCTCACTGCCTAATGTATCAGCTGCACAGGGACTATTTTAGTCTGCTTTAGAACAGTGATCCTGGAGAACGTTGGACAGTGCAGACTTAAGCTAGAAATTCCATTGTCAAGAAATACTCAATTTCAGTTTTGCTTTGCAACGCTGTGCAAAAAGTAAATGCTGTAAATGTGTATCATCCTGTAGCCATTGTTATCCTGATCTGAAATTCCATATCACTCCAGTCAGCTTTGCAAAATTTCATATTCTCCTCCAAATTCTGTGGGCTACAAAAGGCTTTCCATGCTTTTCCAAACAAGATGCTTTCTATAGCCTGCAGGCAGAGCCATGCTGCTGAGCACAGATTTTTTACACATTCCATATGCTGGCTTAGTTGTGCAAAGCCATTAGAAGGCCTTTTAATGCTTCTAGCTCCACAGAGTGTGCAGGAAGAGACCATTTGGAAAAATATCCCCTTCCATCTTGAGGCTCACATGCCTCGCAATCGCTTGAGAGAGACAAGCTTGATATACTCTTCTCTCCTGCACAGCACACAAGCTGATGCACTGTTACGTAGAAAGCTGAGGAACATGTGTGACCGGGGAGTCTATACGGCAGAATTTCCATAAGCCAGGGTTGGAAGCCAGGTTCTTAGCTGGTGGAAAGGCGGGTCTCTGCATGTGTTGACATGGGGGGGAATTTATAGCATCAGAGCTCTGTTTCTTCATGGAGGTTTAGAACACTGAAATGTTTTTGCTTTTCTGCAGCGTGGAGAAACTGCATTGCACATGGCAGCACGTGCTGGGCAGGTGGAAGTTGTTCGCTGTCTCCTGAGAAATGGAGCCCTGGTTGATGCCCGAGCCAGGGTAGGTGTTCTGCTTAAATGTGGGTTTTTTTGCATTCTTGTACTTAGAAACATTGCTGAAGCAGAGCAGGTAGGGAGGAGAAATTTATTTTTTTTTTTAATCTGTTAATTCAGTATTTAGCACACCCAGAAACAGTTCTGAAAACATTAACCTGTTCATGCATAAATCTTCCAAAGAGAATGCATGTGGTGGGCTGACCCTACCAGCTGTGCTCAGTCATTCACTTACTGCTGGATGGGGGATAGAACTGAAGGGTGAAAACAAGAAAATCTCTTGGGTTAAGATAAAGACAGTTTAGTAGGGGAAGGAAAAAAGTTAAAACTAATAGAAAACACACCAACTGCCCCCTGCGACAAGCAAAGTAAAGGCTATCACGTACCACCTCTCACAAGTAGGCGGATGCCCAGCCAGTCTCTGAGCAAGTGCTCCTTTGGAAAATCTCATCCCATAGTTTATTGCTTAGCATAATGTTACAAGGTATGGATTATCCTATGGTCAGTTGGGGCCATTACTTCCTATGATTTTTCCAGACAGATGCACAGCTAGATCTGTGGAATAAACAGGGATATTGTGTTAAGGGTGGTTCTGCCTGTGCTAATTATCTACTCGATTTGAGTTGTAGGAAGAACAGACTCCACTGCACATTGCTTCTCGCTTGGGAAAGACAGAGATCGTCCAGCTTCTGCTACAGCACATGGCCCACCCTGATGCTGCAACTACTAATGGCTACACTCCACTGCACATCTCTGCCAGAGAGGGACAAGTTGATGTTGCATCTGTTCTCCTAGAGGCAGGTGCCTCACACTCCATGTCCACCAAAGTAAGACAAAATGTCTGTATGCCAGTAGCACAGCGCGTGCCTGTTTCATGAGGAATGCACTTTCACGCTGAGAAGTTGAACGTGTTTGGGTCTTTTATTTTATTCTTATTTAACAGTGATCCTGGAGTGACCTTTAGACTGAAGTAATAAATCAGAAGTGAGTCAGATTTTCACATTTTGCTGTCTTCTGAAGTTGGGAATTTGGTTCCCAGTGGAGCCAAATGCAGATAGATCATGATAAATACAGGGCCCCAGCCAGTTTGAATTGTACACAAATACCTTGCTTCTCTCTTTCCCATTGTGTTACGGGTAGGGCTTTTTTGGAAAAATTTTTTTAAAAAGAGGGTTGTTATCATCCTAACAGTTGTTTTTTGTTTGGGTTTGTGGTTTTTGTTGTTGTGTTGGTTTTTTTTAATGAATGGGCCTGCTTATTCTTCAATACCTTGTTTAATTAAATAGTAAAATAATTCTGGTCTTGCTAGCTGAAAGGAATGTTCCTGAAACATAGAAGTCAGCATCTGTCCAGCCACAGCTAATGCTGAATATATCTCCAGTGATTCTATAAATGAGGTGCCATATGACACAACAGGCCATTTTGTCTGGGGTTATAAAGAAACAAGTCTGCAGAACTGTTAATGCTTTATTAGCAAAAAATGTCTACCAATAACATTCCCAACAAATTGATAAACATGTAAGAAAATAGACAACTGTGAACAGAACTATGTGCCAAGACGTTTTCCAAATTTATCACGTGATTGAGACTCACTTAATTCTCACTATTGTTCCTAAAACAATAGTGACCTCAAGACCTAATCTTGAGAAAGTACACCCAATTTTACAGCTGGAGCTAAACCATTTTTGGGTTATCTTCCAGGGTTTGGAAGACTAAACCAGCAATTTTCAAATTGTGATCCACAGATTAGTGGGAATGTGTGCTGTTCTCCTTTTATCCAGCTGTTAAATCACATTAGAATGGCTAAAAATACACTAAACACTTTCCTTATATCCCATATTGCTCTGTGGTAATTGCTTTAGGACTTCAGGAGTATTTTATAATTATGAATAGGAGAAGATGTAGTCCACTAGAAAAATCTCTCTACAAACATCTACAGATTCGTGAACTAGGAATGTTTGAGATTCCTGATGTAAACTATTTTGAGGTGGGATTAATGGACTAAGATGTTAATCATAGAACCATAGACTGGTTTGGGTTGGAAGGGACCTTGAAGACCATCCAGTTCCAGCCCCCTACCATGGGCACAGACACCTTCCATTAGAGCAGGTTGCTCCAGGCCCCATCCAATCCGGCCTTGAACACTGCCAGGGATGGGGCAGCTACATCTTCTCACTGCAGCCTGTGCCAGTGCCTCATCCCCCTCACAGGGAATAACTTCTTCCTAATGTCTAATCTGAATCTCCCCTCTGTCAGTTCAAAGGCATTACCCTTCGTGCTATCCTACATAACCTTGTACAAAGCCCCTCTCCAGCTTTCTTGTTAGCCTCTTTAGGCACTGGGAAGCTGCTCTAAGGTCTCCTTGGAGTCTTCTCTGTTCTGAACAAGCCCAGCTCTCTCCACCGGTCTTCACAGGAGAGATACTCCAGCCCTCAGAGCAACTTTTGTGGCCCTCTTCTGGACTCCTCCAATAGGTCCATATCTGTAATGATAATAAAAATAATAACATTACATAACACTTATGTGTCAGGAAAATCGGTCATTGTAGTTCCCTGAAATTACTGTTAGGGCAGCATTTTAGTCTGCCACCAGTCTTGCCTCCAGGAATTTTCCTTATGAACATGTTGGGTTTGGGGTTTTTTTGTTTGTTTTTTTAATTAACAGACAAAGAGCATGTTTTGACATAGACCTTACACCTGTGCTGTAGTGACAAACATTATTAAAACAAATAGAAAAGGACTCTCTTTAAAAGACTATGTTTGATGTTGCCAAAACCACTGCCACTGAGTCAGTGTGAACATTTTAGCTGCAGTTTAGGGGCTGCAGCTGAACTTGGTGACTGTATAGATACAAAGGTCCAAACACAAGTAATTTTACTTCTACAGGATGAGTACAAAGTTTGGAGCATTTCTCACTGAATTTAGATGGTGTTTCATTGTTGCTGGCAACAAGCGATACAGGAAATTCTTTCTGAAGCTGTCATCGTGTGAACCTGAAAAGTGCATCTGGTTTGGAGTAAAAATTTGAACTAGTGCCTTCGTTGCCCACACACAGCAGACAACAGAGTGCATGTTGACAGTAGAGTCTCTTTAAGAGAAAATGTCTGGGCGTCTGCCAGCCTGACTGCATATATGTAGGGAAGAATAATACAAGGGAAAGTATTTTCTTTTGTTTTATGCTTCTTAATGTGCTTTCAAGAGATGATGCTCTTTCTAGGTACGGCTATTGATTCTTTGAGGTAGGAATATAGGAATAATAAGTGCTTAGTCTAAAAGACAGATGTCAGCCTGACCTTTAACACAAGCATCTCTTCTTTATCTCCTGTAATTTTTCAGAAGGGATTCACACCTTTGCATGTGGCAGCCAAGTACGGGAGTCTGGAAGTGGCAAAGCTCCTGCTACAGCGTCGTGCCTCTCCTGACTCAGCTGGCAAGGTAGTAATGAGAAATGAGAGAAATAAAATATCATCAGCATTTTGTATTCTTCCTTGGGGAAGAGCTGTGTGAAACATGCACACAGAAAGAGGCTGTGTGGTGGCCTTGGCTTTGTGTGTGAGGGGCACATTCCCTAAAGGGTGAGGGTTAGGTTGTGAAAACCGAGTGTGTGGGATCCCTGGCAGGAGGGTGGACACGTTTCTGCGGCTCAAGAAGTGCCGGTTCCATTGAGCTGCCCAAACTCTCAAAATCCTAATGGATAAACTGGGGATGGGGGGGGGGTGGGGGGCAGTTCACCAGCTCTGATGCTGTGGGAATTGTTAACTCTGGGGAGACCTGCGGCCCACATTCACCCCACTTCACCGCTTCTCCCGCACTAACGGCCGTCCGCTCCCCCTTTCCCTGTCCTCTCAAGAGCTAACGGCTCCGTAACATCCCACACACCCCCTCCCCTTTCCCGCCTAACGCCGTAACCGCCCTTACAGAATGGCCTCACACCCCTGCACGTCGCGGCCCATTACGACAACCAGAAGGTGGCGCTGCTGGTGCTGGAGAAGGGCGCCTCTCCACACGCGACCGCCAAGGTGAGTGTGTTTGTGCCGCCCGTCTGAGGGAAGCCGAGCGCGCACCCGCGGTACCGCTCTGCTAAATGCGCCTCTCAGGGCTGCGGCGTCCGGTGTGGTGCATGGGGAGACCCGCAAGCGACAGTTTCAGTAGGTTAGTTTGATGAAGATCCCGTGTTAAAGAAGTACGCAGATCTGCCAAGCTAACACCTCCAAGGGGGGCTGTCTGCTGTGACTCAGAGCATTCCCCACAAAGCCTGCTGTTAAGCAGTTAAAGGTGGGAAAGTTGCCAGAAGGATCTATCAATACCATTCTGCTTTGTCTAAATCATAGAATCACAGACTGGTTTGGGTTGGAAGGGACCTTGAAGACCTCTAGTTCCAGCCCCCTGCCACAGGCAGGGACACCTTCCACTAGACCAGGTTTCTCTGAATCCCATCCAACCCAGCCAAGCAGTTAATTTGATCCAAAAAATCCCATTCTTCCTTCCCTCTTGCTGTTCCTAGCTGGTTCCATGATTGACACACATACCAAAAGTCCATATGGAAACACACCTCTACCCACATGCTCTGAAAAAGCAGAATGCAGTGAAGAACGTACACCCATCACAGAGAATGTTGCTCATCAGTCAAAAGTGAATATTTACAACAGAAGTCACTCAAAATGTAGGTGCCAAACCCTGGGTTGTTTTAAGTATCAGCTGAACAGTCCTGCCCACCCGAGCAAGAGCTGGCTTTGTTCTGGTTTAGATGCTGAAAGTAACAGGCAGAGAAAGCAATGCAATCGCAGGGCCATGTGGGACATATCTGGCCTTGAAAATATAATGAATTATCATCTCTAGTAATAATAAGTAACGTAAAAGAATACTATTCTGTGGTGTCTGGCTTCTTAGGTTGTGTGGCTGTTGTGGTGTTAACTTTATTCTCATTTTGTTCCTTGACTGGTGCTAGAATGGATACACCCCTCTGCATATTGCTGCCAAGAAGAATCAGATGCAGATAGCAACCACTCTATTGAACTATGGGGCTGAGACCAACATTTTGACCAAGCAGGGAGTCACCCCACTTCATCTGGCTTCCCAAGAAGGTCACACTGACATGGTGACCTTGCTTTTGGAGAAAGGATCCAATATCCATGTGGCAACAAAGGTACAAACCGGAGACAAAGTACTGTGCACGGGACTATATCGTAAGATGCAAAGTGCAGTGTAGGAATTATGTCAGCTTGTCGGAAATACTCAGCTTCACTTCCTTGTGTATATATTTGTGAGTCTGCAGAAGTGACAACAGGTGGGTGAGCAGTAAAAATGAGAAGAGGATCTCTAGGACTGGCAGATGGATTGACCAGTTAACTCATACTGTGTAATAGCTGCACTGGGAAACACACAGGAGGAGCTGCAGCTATTTGCCATGACCAGAGGAAAATGATGCAACACCTTTCTCTGGTAGAGAGGTTAGAAGAGGAAAGGCAGACAAAGAGAAAATGGTTTCTGTACCTTCAGGAAGGCAGAACTACAGTATTTCTGTGGTACTGCAACCTTGCTGTCTCTCAAGTGTTTTGCATATATTCCTGAAATTTTACATTAGACGCAAAGGAAGAAAAATGTAAAATTCTGGAGTTTGTGGGACCATGGGTAGATTTCATGCATTCACAGAATGGTTTGGGTTGGAGGGACCTTAAAGATAATCTAGTTCCAACCTCTAAATTTCAGAACATATATCAGATACCAGAGAGCTGCAGTCTAAAATAGTTCAGTGCTTTTGCAAGGTGCTTTTCCTCATGCATTTACCGTTCGGTCTTCTTTCCAAGTGGAAGAAATTGACAGTATCTGGCAAATAACAAAATAACATTATTAGCATAGTAGCAAGGGAGAAAAATCCTATGGAGGACTTTTCAAATTTTTTTGCTTTTTTAATTTTTTATGATTGTACCTTACAGGTTTATTCATAGAAAACAAATTCCTCAAAAAAAAAAGACCACATTACTGTAGATATTTATAAGTCACTAGATCTATCATGGCATTTATGTAAGTCTTCCTTAAGGTCAAAAGTCTGCAGCTTTTGTTCATACAAGTCAGAAGGTTCAAGTCTCTCACTGTGTTATGCTACCTAACTAACGAGAAAGAAGGTGATATACATTTCTCTTACAGAATTTGTTCCCTGCCTTGTTCACAGGCAAGTGGTCTGTGCATGATCACAGTGAGCTTTTAGTTAAAATCTGTGTCCATTTCCTTGGCATCTTTGAATGGGATTTATTTTTGGAGTTATTTTCTTCTCTCTGACTTGTGCCTGCGGTTGTTAAGTTTCTCTTTCCTGTCTGAGGAGTGGGAAGCGAGTGTGCTTCCCTAATATATTAATGAGCTCCTCAGCCTCCCAGGTGACATTATGGTATAAAATCCAGGCATAATCACTGATGCCTGAAAGTTTTACTCTGTGATTATGGTGATGTAATTATAGGAGAAACATCAACCCTACTTTGTTAAAAAAAACACCAAACCACTCGTACTTCTAAGCTGTAGTTAGGATCTCTTTATGTTTTAAAGATGAGAGAGTGGGAAAATCTAGATTTCTTTCCTCATGTAAAATAGACCTTATTCTTATTTTTAGCTTTTTTTTTTTTTTTATTTTTATATTCTACCTCCAGACTGGACTGACATCCTTACACCTTGCAGCTCAAGAGGATAAAGTGAACGTAGCTGAAATCCTCACAAAACATGGTGCAAACCAAGATGCTCAGACAAAGGTAAATCATGAAGTGGCTACTGTCTTCAGTGTGCCAAAGGATGCTACCTTTGTAAAAGGAATGTTCCACTGAGCTTGCAGTTTTATTTATTTGTTCTTTTATTTTAGCTTGGGTATACACCTTTAATTGTGGCATGTCACTATGGAAACATCAAAATGGTGAATTTTCTTCTCAAGCAGGGAGCAAATGTCAATGCTAAAACGAAGGTAAAGAATTTTTTGTTGTTTGCTTTTGCTCTTTAATATGAACCTGGTAACAGAGCACTCGGAATACATACCTTTTCACTAGGAAACTAATTATTGTGTGGTAGGTGTCAGAATATGGTGAGTGATGATTGTAGCAGAACACTCTGCTACATCTCATGCTGTAGTGCTCACAACAAAAAAGTCAGTTAACTCTTTGGGAGTATGAAAAAAGGAGATAGAGAATCAGTTTCATTGTTTGTTTATTTTTCTTTGTACTTGGAAACTAAGAAATGTGAGCTTGTTTCTGATTTCATTTACACATGGCTTATACCTGTGTGCTGCCAAACTAGTAAGTAACCATTCAGACAGTTTGAGGGTGATGCCAGGTTCTCTCCAAACTGCTGGGAAAAGAGTGGGAAGAATTACCACTGATCAGTGTGTGGGTGGTATAACTCTGGGAAAGGAAGCAGCTGTGGTGTGGGAATGCAGCTTTGGTGTTTGTTTTGGTTTGGTTGGTTGGTTGGGTTTTTTTGTTTTGTTTTCTTTGATTGGTTGTTGTTGTTTTTTTTTTGTGGGGAATCTGGGCACAGTGTTACTGACAAGTTGGACCTGACTGCCTATAGCCAAAGTCTGAACAAAATCTGCTGACTTCAGCAGTTGAACACCAACAGCTGAATGTGATGCATTTTGTAGCAAGAATTGTCTATCTTCTGAGTTTACACATACAGGTTCTGGTGACAGCAACAGCATGTTGCATCTCAGATACCATCCCATCACTTTTACCAGAAAGTGGAGGCTAACTCAGGAGCTGCACAACTTCAGCTTAATTAAAGCAGATGTGTGGCAGTCACTACTAGTTTCAGATTGAATGTTTTGGGATCAATCTGAAGAAGCCCATTAATACTTCTGGTGACATACTTAGTAGTAAGATCCAATGAAAATTGCAGGCTTGTGGTCTGCTGATCCCTCTGGCCACATGCTGTCTCCAGCTGTGACCTGTAGGGTGGATTTGTTTCCCAAAGTAGCCCTGTACAAGTACTGTAGTAGTAGTAATGTACAAGTAGATTTTTTTAGTTGTCACAGCTTAATGTGGTAAGAAAGAGCAAAGTAAATAAATAAAAGATGCCGGCCAATCCCTGGCGAGATCACCCCAAACCAATGGGCAAAACCCAGGGATTCCAAAAGAACAGGCAATGATACTAGAAAAAACAGCTGATAAGAGTCAATAAAGCAAATGCTAACAGGATCCAAATGATAGCTGGCAAGGTATTCAGCTTAGGTATTTGGAGGCTAACTGAAGGCACAGCACCTTTAGTATTAGGTCTCACTCTCTAAGGAGCCATTTCCCCAGATATTTCACTTATTTAGAATAATTTCAGTAATGTCAGCAACTTTCTATGAGGCAGTGGTACTCCAAAATCTCAGACCTAGGGAGCAATAAAAAGACTGGCAATCTGTCAGCTAGTACTGTGGACTGAGTTTAAAGAGAAAATCCATTGTGACTGGATTCAGGATAGGCATGTTAAAGAATAAGTAACCCCTGTTTCAGCTTAGTCTTTAACTAGAGTAGAGAAAGCCTGAATGATGCTTTGTGCATTTCCAGTGAAAAATAATGTGACTGAATTCTATTTTTGAAGGACTGTACTAATATTTAAGTAAAAGTGAATTTTCTTTATGCTACAACCTACCATAAAATCCTCCTGTAATTTCTTAGTAGTCCATGCACGCATGAATATAAGAACTATAACAGCTCTGAACTATCACTATTTAATGAGTAGCACAAAGCATTCCTGGTATCTGTTTGTTTGCAAAAGGGAGAACTCTTCGGAGTGTGTTTTTCAGAGCCTGCCCCTAGGCTTTACGTAAGTGTACAGTGAGATCAACTCAGTGTTTTCTTTCATTTTATTCTCTGCTTGCTTTCAAAGCCAATTGCAAATAATTTTGTAAATAAACTGCCTGACTTGACTTACACAAAATCATCTCAGATCAATGATCTGAAGTACACTTTGGTTAACTTTCTGTGTTTTATCACCTTAGAATGAATCACTGGAGCAGATAAGTATATGAAGAGAAGTGTGTTTATTAATACAGACATTGCGTACATGTTTTTAAGTGTAATTACAGCTTGTTCCAGCCTTTTGAAGTCAAAGCAAAGGTAAAATTGATTGACATTAGTAATAGGTATGTGTTGTTAGCCTTTTAAAAGCAAATAAATCATTGCTGTTAAAAATTGTATGTTTTTAAAATTGGCTCAAATACTTTAAAGGCAAATGTTGGGGCTTCTGTAGAGCACTAATATGTGAGAGTAAGAAGCATGTTCTCTCCCTCAGCTGTGATGCTATGTCTTTTGTGTGCCACTTGAACTTTACTGTTCCTCATTGTTTCTCCCTCTGATTTAGGAAATGAGGGAATTATCTGTCTTTCCAGAAATTGTTTATATTGTGAGATGAAAGATGATTTGTGAATGAAAGTATTTTCTTCCTTTATCTTTTCATTAATCTGGAGAAGGAATGTTACTAGTAGTGAAGGTTTATTATCCTTTGGTTGATCGATGGCATAATTTCTTTTTGAAATATCTCAAAAAGAGTGGAAGCAAGAAAGGGGAAGTGTTTAATCTAATTACTGGTGGCTGTTGTTCTTTTGTTTTTGCTTTTCATAACCACTGTGGACAACAGAATGGGTACACCCCTCTTCACCAAGCTGCTCAACAAGGCCACACTCACATCATCAACGTCCTTCTCCAACATGGGGCCAAGCCCAATGCCATCACCACTGTAAGTTGTGAAGTCCCAGTGGGAACTTGTTTCCCTGGACAGTTCTTTCCTTTTCTTTCCTTTTTTAGGGCTTAGCCTTTGTTATGGTGAAAGTATTCCGCGTATAGCTGGTTGTCAGATGTGTAAATATAACTTCTTCTTCTTTTCCTTATCATTTTAAGGTAGTTCAGATCAGAGCTCACTCACTGTGCCCTAAGGTTAAAAGTGAGGTGGGGAAACTGATTTCTGAGCTGCAGTATCAGATTGGACACAGCTACCTACCTCTGCTGTGCTTGCTCGGTTGCCCTCTGCCTCACACATCTGTAAATTGGTATCTCAATAAGGATTTTTCCAGAAGAATTAAGGGGAAATCAGAACCTGGGCTTTTTTGAAGGTGTAGCCCCAGATTTCTCTCCTTCTATCTACTGGATCTGTTTCAGGTTCTTACTGAGTTCACTGATGTTAATGCCTCCTCAAAGACCATCCATAACCTCTGACACAGCTCCTGCTCTGCAGTCAGCAGGAATGCAACTGTCCTATTTCGTGTTGGTGTTGTTACTAGTCACCTCTAATTGGGTAACCTTTAAAATGCAGCCAGAATGGCCAAAACTCATGTCATTTCCCAGAGTGGATCGGGTTTCCATGTGCATACATTGTGCATGCTTAAATCAGCCCTGGTACCCTGTTTGGTCTTGGAATGATCACATTGACTAATCATCTATGAAGTTATCCGAAATAGCAGTTTATGCACCACATCGTCATGCAGGAAACCATTGTAGTTAGCTTCTGGAGCTGTAGGTATTGGTGGACGTATTCAGCTGGTAGTCTTACTCACTTTCAGTCCTCATGTTGGGGCTGTTATGCCCAAATCTAACCCAGATCTTAGCAGAGCCTCAAGCATATGTTCACTGCACCATTTGCATTTTTTCTCAGGTACTAGAGCTGTCCTTGTCTTCACATAGCAACCTCTAGTTTGAGATTAGAGAGAATTTCAACCTGAGACATCTTGCAAGGGGATATGAGAGTGGGATAGGAGCAGTTAATATGCAAGTGACAGTAGCAGTCAAATTATTTGTGCTGTGAAGATGCTAGTCTATTAATTTTGTGCCGCTAATCCACAAATGGTGTGTTGCTTCAGGGTTCCTGAGCTAGAGTAACCTAAATTATAGATAACTAATGCCAATAATGAAGCAGAGAGAAGCCCTCAGGCTTACACCCTGCTCACTGTATGGTGGTATCACAAAGGAAATCCTTTCAGTGCAAAGAGCAGCATAGTGGCTTTCCATGGTTCCCCTGGTAGGCCAGCATGTTGTCCTTTATTCAGTACAAAAGAAAGTAAAACAATTCTGTGTAGAGCTTTTTATAAAGAATTAAGGAACATGTCCCTTCCTCCACTCCCAAGATTAAGTGACAGAGGGAGCAGGTGATGAAATGGAGATAAATAGGCCTAAGCACGTACTAAATTATCATTTTAATTTCCATTTGATGAATGGCACATCTGTTATCACGGATGTTTAAGTGGCAAATAAGTTCATCAAATGGAGTTAATTTCCCACCCCAAACCTTAAATAGGTTGGGTTTGAGTTTGTTAAATGATTAGCTTTTTTTACTTTTGTTGGACATGTGTTTTTGTCATAGGGAGGAATAGAAGTGTATGCTGACAATACAGTTGTAGTCTTATATTCCCCAAAGAGAGAATTGTACCTGATAAAGATTTAACGGTTTCAACTGGAAGTGAAACTCTAATATTTTCAAATACCTTTTTTTTTAAAATAAGAGTACTTCTGATGTGGAGCCATTCATGCAAAATAAAACAAACTTCTGCAGACCAGACATGTTGTGTATAGTGAAATTTGAGCACTAAAGGGTTAAACCATACAGTGGTTTTTTTTATTTAGCATAGCAGGCAGATGTATGTTGTGTTACCATGGCAATCAGAATTACAGTCTTAAAGAAGTTACAAAGACAGTCAGATGTAACGATGAAAAAACAGTGATTTTCCTAGGCTGCGCCTTGTTTTGGATGGAAATGCTGGCTCATGCAGCATTGAGAGTGAGCTCATTGGTTCAATTCACAATCCTTCCTCTCATTGCGCTCTCTCTCCCCCCCTTCCCTCTTCTCTCTCCAGAATGGTAACACTGCCTTAGCTATTGCAAGGCGGCTGGGATATATCTCAGTGGTCGATACGCTGAAGGTTGTAACGGAGGAGATTACTACCACCACAACTGTGAGTTGCAGATGAATTCAAATGTCTCTCCTTTATTCAGAATGTTGTCTTTCTCTTCTTCCTTCAGGCTCTCCATGTATCTCTGTACTTTTTTTTTGTTTTCTGGTTTTAACCCTCCTCCGCTTCCCTTTTTGTTGGATTTTTGCAAAAGTGCCCTAATGCTTTCAGTGTATCTTTTAAGCAGCGCAACACAACAGGCTTCACTGAGCTAGGTAACAGAATTGGTGTGCATACAGATGCAAAACTATTCAAAAGCAGAGTAAAACCTTTTTCTAGGTATGGTCTCAGCTGCAAACCCAGAATTTCCAGAAGTTTGTGAATTGTCATTTATGTCCTGTCCTGTTTCTCTGTTTCTCTTTTCGCGTCTCCTTTTCATTCTCTCCTTATGTTTCTACGCTTCCAACACCTACTGAGGCTCAACCATTGCAGCACACCACAACGAGTTTCTTAGCATTTGGGGTGTACCAGTGATGGACTGGTGCCAAGCTTAATAGTGCTCACTAGATGGCTCTGAATCACATCAGTTGTGTTATTCAAGTGACTTTCAGTTCAAATAGATACTGTTTTTCCAAAATACAAAAGAATCTTTCCTTATGTGCTCAGTCCTCCACACTCTTAATAGTCTGTATTTTGACTTTAGGGCTTGTGAATAGCCTGTGCTGAGCAACAGCAAGGTGGTTCTGTCACTTTAAACCAGGAAAAATGGATATATTCTGACAGCCTGGGAGGGGAAGGTTCTATATTCTTGGAATTTTACCTCCCATCTGTAAGTGTTCTAGCAGGTAGGAAGCAAGAAGATTGAAAGAGTGCATAATTTAAGAAATTAATTTGAATTTGAATTTCCATTACTGCGTTTTGTCTTGAAACACTATTTTAAAGTCATACTGTTTTGTGGTGGGTTTTTGGTTTTTTTTTTAATGCAAGGGAGATGAGCAGTCTAGAAAACATGTAAGATCTAGCTGTCACTTAGGAGCTGAGAGCTGTAAAAATCCACAGATTACTTGGAAGATGCCACTGTTCAATCAGGGAGAGGGTTAGAGGAAAGGAAGAAATCCAGAGTGTCTTCCAAAGGTAAACAAATGGGAAAATAATTCTGGGTTTGTCATGGACTGACAGCAGGCCCGCTGATAGTAACAGAAGAAGATGGAATAAAAGTAACATGGCATAAGGTTACAAATAGAGTGAGCCATAATTTATTAATGACCTGCAAAGATCAGACTGAGTCAGGTTTGGACAAGAAATGCCAGCATAATTCCAGAAGTCTCTTCATAAAAACGAAGTTTTTGTTAGTTTTGATCGTAGTTGTTTCATATTGTTGTTTAACCAAATAGCACATCACACATGTGCGTGCATAAACACCTGTGTATCTATTCAGAGATTTAGAAAAAGAAAACCCATATAAAATTTTTGGAGAAACTTTAGCTCTTCGGAAGTATGATTTTTAGCCTCAACTGTCACCTTTGCTGTGTCCTGACACACTTTTCCGATTTATGCTTCATATAAACAGTAACTTCCTTCCTATTGTACATTGTATTGCACTGTGGAGCCTCATACCTTGTCACATATAAGTATTAGGTGCTTTGTAATAACAGGGATTACAGGATGGAAAGACACCTGCGAGTTATTTAATTTAGATAAATGTTTTTTTAAACATTTAAGGTAATGTGTTTTTCTGCCAGATACCAGATGCCTGGGATTTAGGACTGAATCAAATACTGAACTTTACTTGCATACTTCACCTCTAATGCTTGCATATAAGAGAAATGTGAAATCTTGAACTGTGTGTGTGCAAAGTACTGCTCTTAAAAGTAAGGTGGTAACGCTCGATAAAGTCAGCAAATTTTTTAGTCATGAATTTGTCTGAATCCTGTGCTTTAGGCATACAGAGAATATGATCCTCTGGTGGTGGTGTTCATGGCAGGGAATGTTGATTAAGTGTAATTCAGAGCAAGTCCTGAAAAGGACAGCTAAATAACAGGCGCTCCCTGCAATAAAGTTCCCAAGATGGTGGTGAAATTGGTGTTGCCAAACCAGAACACAGCGTTTATCACTGAAAAAAAAGTGCTGTCACCATAGCTGCCTCATTATCTGAGGTTGTAGCTGAGTGATGCATGGCAGATCTTAGATGGGCTGATGCTTTATTAGTATTCAAGTCACTGGCGTTTGAGATGAGGAAAAAAGGTCTCCAGTGCCAAGGCCTTTGGTCTAACTTTGAACAAGTTTTCTTGTTACTTGCATTAGTGTTATTATCACTGCAGTCACATGAATATAAAGCAACCGAGGGAATAAGCTGCACTTATATTTACTCACAGATTAGATATATATGGGAAATAAATCAGAATAAGCCAGACTTTCAAAGTTTGGCTATGCAATTAAGTTTTGGGATATTTACACAAACAGGTCTAGTCTTCCTGTGAACAAATGGAATGTAAGAGGAGCTTTGAGGTTGTTTACAGTATACTGCCATTGAATGTACATATAGGTTTATGTACCTGAATTACATATCTGGATTACTCTGTGTCACCAGTTGAAAATCTGGCCTTACAATGAAAGTTTTAAATACAGAAACATTCAAGTAATTGAATTCTTAGTGAAACAGAATAGTTGGAATTTTGAGAAATATATATTGAGCAATATTCAAAGTGGGGTGAGATACAGATTTTAAATACCAGTTACAAAAAAAAGCAAAACAAACAAAAAAAACAAGAAAACAACCACAAAACAAAACAAACCCCATCTAGTATTATATTAAAAGTTAATTAAAAAACATTAATTCACAACTTTGGTTTGGAATTGATGTAGAATCCATGATTCTTGCTGAACTCAGTATTCCAGAGATTTTTTGTTCTTCTGAAACATGCATATGCATACATACACACTCTTGTAATTCTGCTTTCCAAACTTTGTTTCAGTTGTTAAAATATGTAATAATCTTTTGTTACTAGAGCGAAAATCAGAAAGAAAGTATCATTACTTCTGTGTGAATAAATAATGTCTGTGAGCCTTAGTCAGAGACCAGATTGTTATATAGGGGCCTGTAAAAACCTAATTTAGGAATAAATTGATATCATGATAAATGATATCATATTATTAGTTACTAGCTACTAGGGCCTGCAGAGGTAAGTTAATCAAAAGCAGTATACAACGTTTCTCTATACCTGTGGCTAGACTACTGTAGTATCCCTTCACGTCTGTGTTCTTCTAATCGAAGGGATTATGTATGTAAAGGTAAGTTGGGAACTTCAAACTCTGGAATAAGGTTAGATACCAAGTTCTCTTAATTAAATTTCGGTCATACGGCAGATAAACAAAACCTAGTCTTTGTGACTCTTAGGTAGATCCTTTCATTTCCCTATCTTCAGAATTTGGTCACCTCCTCCTGCCTTTGTTTCCTTCCTCTCCTCCCCCCTCCCCCCCCCCCAACTTTTCAGTTAGTTTATGCGGGGAACATAGAAACTGTCAATAGAGAACTTGCAGTACACTTTGTGTTGATGGCAATTACAATGCCAGTAAATTGGTACTCACATATTATACTTTCCACTTCACTTGAAAAATACACAGCCCACTTCACCTGTGTTTATTCCTTTAGCCCAGTGTCAGTGATTTTTATTTTTAATTTAGGATGTATTTGTTAACTTAATGCTGTATTGTAGAAGAGATGAGGTCAGTGTTACCTGAATGAGAGTGTCCTCCCCATCTGCCATTCCTGGCAGACATTTCTATCTGAGGAAAGCCTTGGAAATGCAGGGGAGGGGGGAAGTCATATTGGTCGAGGCATTGGGTGAATATAAACTAGCTTTCAACATAAAACATGTTATGAATAATGCTGAAAGAGAAATAGTGAATTTTCTTGAATCATGGGTAAAAGGGAATTCAGGAGGCCTGATGGGGATTGCCATGTGAAGCGAAGGGTATTATTCTTTCCCTGTACTTCGGAAGGGTGAATTGAAAACTTCTGTCACACTTAAATAGAATTAAAAAAAGGAGGCTTTTAAAACAAATTTCTGAAGTAATTACACTATTGGTGACTTTGTTATTTGTAAAAGTGCAGTATGCTACAATAGCCAAGAATGCGTCTTTGTTGCTTTGTTAGAGAACAGTAAAACAGAATCAGGAAATAGCTAGTAGTTTTTGTGCGACCAAAACTGCTATTGACTTTACTGCTTGAAATCAATGGCAGTGGCTATTTTTGCAAAAGCATATTGCATAAGGAAGTTGGGATATGGCTAACATTAATTATCCCTCTTTCACTACTTTTGCATGTAATTTTAATTTATGCTCAATAGATACCATCTCCAGTGGGGAATGAAGTACTGCCTGGGTGGGAGTTTTGCAAGATGCATTCTCCTGACATCCCTTTCCATGCCAAAGGGGCACATCTCTTCCAACATACCTGAAAGGACAGTGTGTTGACACCCCTCTATGGCTCCTTAGCTCAGCTGGCTGTGGATCTGGGTGGAGACAGGGAAATACTGATTTTTCTAATGTGACTAATGCTTTTCTGATCACTGCATTTTATTAAGTCCTCGGCATTTTGTCTCCTGTACCATATATATATATATATATATATATATATATCCCAGCAGTCCTTGATCCATACTTGTTTTGTATCACAATATTTTAAGCTTTTAGGTGCACAAAACACATCAAAATCTTCCAATAACTTTTTTTTATCCCTGATGTGTATGTGATTTTGGGGAATATACATGATTTATGAAAAGGCTATCATTAATATGCAGTATAGTCACTTGGGGGGGGGGGAATGCTTCAAGTGATCTGTGTAAATCCCTCACATCTTTTTTTAGTTTAAAAATTTCACGTCATTCATAACTTCATTTCCAAATGCTTTACGATTTAATAATTTCCATATGCCACATACAACTTTCTGAAGCTCTTCTGTAGACATTACCTAATTCATTTTAAAATCATCTTGGAAACATCAAGCTGAATTGTTCTACATGCACCATTTATAAATAAATTTGCTGAGAGCTTTCCTTTTTTTTTTTTTATTCCTCTGACCAGCTTGTTATCTTGATGTTTTTGTACTTCTCTGCCAGGATAAATGTTACCTTATATACAGCACTAAGAATAGGAGCTTCTGGAGTAAAAATGAAAAAGAAACTTAGGGGAAGGGGAAGCACATTATAAAATGTCTTAGCAGATCCCACTGTTGTTGCTGTTGCAAATATCCTGCTGTAAGCTTTGTTGCTTATTTTGGGTGTTTAATTTGAGGCTTGATGATTCTGTCTTTGCAGACTGTGACAGAGAAGCACAAGCTAAATGTCCCTGAGACAATGACTGAGGTCCTGGATGTTTCAGATGAAGAAGGTGAGCAGCTTTGCTAAGTTCCTGTTTCATATCACTTAACACAGGCTCCAGATAGCTGCTGAAGTACTTTGCCATCTTCATTTTGTAGTGCTTGAAATGAAGTTCTATGTAGTGGCCTATTTAAATGATGTAATCACTGTGACATTTGAATAAAAATGCCCAAAGTTGACCCAAAGGAAAATTCTGGACCCCTATATTTTTTTCAGAAAATATTTATCTGAGCCAAGTCAACAAATCAGTACATTTCTCAAGTTGAGATTTTAGGATTCAAATGTAGAGCTGTCCCATGTAGCTCTGGGTAGATCAATTCAAATTGTAGAATTCAAATGTAGAGCTGGATTTGACCCTCCCAGAAAGAGGAATCTGAGCAGTAAATGTCTTGGATCAATGCCACCTATTGCAGATACATATATCTAACAGTCCTGCCTAATTGGAAATATATGGGTAAAGATACATAAGGTGGAAGGTGAGGAGAATTTTCCCTTGAGGGAGCTTTCGGCACACATGACTGTCAGATATGGTTTGACGTGAAGTATCAACATCCTAATAGGCTTGTCACTTTGGTTTCAGAGTCGTCGTATGTGCAGACAGGCGACATATATTGTACTGCCCATATGTACATATGTTGTAAGTCCCAAGAAAGTGTCTGTGAACTGGAGGGATTGATAAAGTACCATGGTTTTATACAGCACAGAATGAAGGAAATGACTTTAAAACATCCCTTTCTAAAAGGACTCAAATGACTTTTAAATTTTCATCACAGGCATCGCATAATATGACACACATTTGAAAGAATTTTCTAAGTTCTTTTTTACTCTTGTCAGTGTTAATTAATATTACAGTAACTTACATATGCCATTTTATGGTTATTATTTCATGCAGATAATTGGTAGAGTGACTAGTTTCAGAAAGATACAGGGATTTAGTAACACAGGCTGCAAGGCTGGGTTATTTTCTTTTACAAAGAATATAAATGTGCTTGTGGTTCTAAATGGGACTGGATGTTAATGGCATTCATGTTCCTAAGTTGCTCATACTACTTTTTAAGATGGGATTTATGCTGATAAATGTGTTACACTTGAGAAACTATGACGCCTAGGCTTTAGCTACTACTTTAATGCTTGCAAAGCTGCAAGTGGAAGCAAATAAGTGTGATTCAAAAGAAATTATTTTCTGCTGCATCATGATCAGGGAAATTATTTCTCAGCCATAGTTTTGATACATTTCCCCTATTTGACAAAAATGCAAGTATGTGTGTGATTATTGGCCTTAACATTTTTATAGCCTTGTGTTCATTTTGCTGAATTTTCTCACAGTCTTTTTAAGTACTATTTAACTGTCTTTAAATTCAAAAAGTCTATTCAAAACAATTTGTATGTTGTACAGCTTTTAAACACTCTGATGATGAACGCTTCAATGATGGTGAAGCATGTAATGGCACAGGTGCTGCTAGCAGAAGTTCCTGGAGTAAGACTGACAAACTTTCTGGTTTTTGTTTAACTCAGACTGTTTTATTTTTTGTGTTGAAGCAGCATGAATTTGCTTAATCCAGGTGCCTAACACCGCTCCTTTTTGTTACTTTTGAAGTGTGATTGTGTATGTGTTTCCCGAAAGGTGGGAGGAAGAAGGGAAGCAAGAAAATCCCAGATGTATTACTTGTATCTGGAATATGTTGACAAAACTTACTGTGGCCATCCAGCACGACTAATGCTCTCCAGTACTTTGAATTAACATTCTTTGCTTTCTGTTACCATCTGACATCTCCTGTTTGTCAATAGCCAGCATATACAACACAGGTACTGTGGCATGTTGCTGCTCAAGGCTCAGTACTGAGCACTTCCACTGATGTATGCCTCTGTGATCCCACTGCAGGTTTTTAAGCAGGTTGGTCAGTTAAAGCACTTCATGCTATTGTCCTTGTAAAGCCTGTTTCTACAGACAAAACATTCAGGATGTTGTGAAAATTCCTAATGTAGATGGTACTTGTCACAGGAGCTTAAAATGGCTGGAGGCAGGAAGACTGCAGAACTGTTTTAATAACAAGGATGAAACTTTCAGTGATATTGTAGTCTTTATAAGAGACTAGCAAACAGATTTCTTCAATGCTGTGTTTCTATCTGTTTTAAAGTGACACAATATGTTCTGAAATAAATTAACATGACACAGTAAACCTGCCAGCTGTAATTGTAATCGTATAATTATATAATTACATGATTATATAATTATGAGGCTGAACACAAGAAAAATACTTGAGCAAATAAGTATTTCAGGTCCCATTGCTTATCACTGGAGATAAGTATTTTGCCTGGGAGGCAGTTATATCTCATAGTTGTATGATATTAGGTTAATAATATTGTATTCATATTCCTAAAACAAAATCAAGTGCAATGGCCAATCTTTGCAATATAAAATAAAGGACCTTACAATCTATCAAATAGCTCACTTGATAAGTGAGGTCCTCCTCTAAAAATATTTTAAAGTATTTTGAATGGACTAACGAGTCCCACTAGTTCTTCTTTAACTTATGTATAGCATTTGTATGTTTACTAATTTGCATTATTATTCAGAATCCTTTACCTTTTTCTTTACCTGAAAAAAACACCCTAGTCTTTGAACAGAATCAGATATTTTTTAAAAACAAAAAAACACTTTTTTTTTTCTTAAATTAGATTACTGGTTTTGAGCTGATAAGTATCAGAGCTAAGTAGAAGCATGTTGTGTATTGTAAGGGAAAGAGAAGCATACACACCAGTAACAGATGCGATGAAATTGGATTCATAAGCTTTTGTGCAAGGAACATGGAAGAAGGGAAAAAGGAAACTTCATAGGCTAGGAAAGACATGATTATAGAAAAATCCTACCTCATTTGCTGTAAGCCTGTTATGTGGTCTTACATGTATTAGATATTCTGTGCCATTAGTAAGTGTTTCCTGCTTTTTGACCATCAAGGCCAAAGATGTATCAGCACAGTTTTATTAAGCAGTTTATTCATACAACACCATAAGGTACACGCATGCACATGTGTGTTACTGTACTGTGTTTGTACAATAGTCTGCAATGAAAACTACTGAGGGATAATCATCCATTGTTATTTGCTCAGTGCATTTGCAGTATGATCACTGTTCAGAAGATGATGGCCTGATCCTGCAAGAAAGATTACGTAGTTTCTCCATGAGGATGGGAATTACCCTACAGATTCCCTCAGGACTAGCTGTTGAGTGTTGTGATTTCTGAAATACCTATGTCAGCAGAAGTGTTTCATGTGGACAGAGTTGTGTTAAAAACCCTGTGAATTTTTACCATTGTGTCTGGCTTAGCTGTTTGTGTTGCTACATAGTTTGGTTTCTTTAAAGCTGTTGCCACAGAAGAAGCCATTTGCACCTGAGGGATAGTTACAACTGTAAAGGGCTGTTGCTGCAACACATCTTGTGAAATGTATTTTAGTGTCACCTACAGAATTAGTGAAGTTAGAATCATAGAATCATAGAATAGTTAGGGTTGGAAAGAACCTTAAGATCATCTAGATCCTCCCCCCTGCCATGGACAGGGACACTTCCCACTAAACCATGTCACCCAAGGCTCTGTCCAGCCTGGCCTTGAACACCACCAGGGATGGAGCATTCACAACTTCCCTGGGCAACCTGTTCCACTGCCTCACCACCCTAACAGGAAAAAATTGCTTCCTTATATCCAATCTAAACGTCCCCTGTTTAAGTTTTAAACTGCTTGTTCTATCACTACAGTCCCTAATGAATTCTCCTTCCCCAGCATCCCTGTATGCCCCCTTCAGATATTGGAAGGCTGCTATGAGGTCTCCACACAGCCTTCTCTTCTCCAGGCTGAACAGCCCCAACTTTCTCAGCCTGTCTTCATGCAGGAGGTGCTCCAGGCCCCTGATCATTCTCATGGCCCTCCTCTGGGCTTGTTCCAACAGTTCCATGTGCTTTTTATGTTGAGAACACCAGAACTGTAAACAATACTCCAGGTGAGGTCTCACAAGAGCAGAGTAGAGGGGCAGGATCACCTCCTTCGACCTGCAGGTCACGCTCCTTTTGATGCAGCCCAGGATACGTTGGCTTTCTGGGCTGTGAACACACACTGAAGCTGGCTCATGTTAAGTTTCTCATCAGCAAACACCCCCAAGTCCTTCTCCCCAGGGCTGCTCTGAATCTCTTCTCTGCCCAACCTAGCTGTGCCTGGGATTGCTCCAGCAAGCAATTGTTAAGCAATTGTTAAGCACAGGCAGATGTTTCTGTTAGGGCTGAGTCTGTGTAGGCACACAGGAAGTTCTAGAAAAGGCAGGAATCTTTTTTTTTTAATTATTCTCCCATATATTAATATTGTATTGAGAAGCATGTAGCTGCTCCTCTGTACTCATTCCATGCATTATTTTTGTGGCATTAGGGCTGCACAGGCTGTGGATGGTTTGTCTTTGTGACTCTCTCATGAGATAGTGCAATAATGAAGGGCTGTATATAGAGGATACAAGAGCAACCAGTAAATCAGGTTGTTGAAGAACTCTCATTTGTGTCTGTTTGAGCCTGCTCATCTCCTGCTCTTTTCTCAATCCAGTTAACTTTCAAAAGCTCTGGTTTCACTGTCTATTTGAGGCTGAAGTTCTGGCTGGTGCACTTTCCCACATCCTCCGTTATGTCAGCACAAATGTTTCACCATGTGGTGAACCAACCCAGAGAACTCATCTGTCTGAAAATTAATCTTTTTGTTCTGACAAATTGTTTTAAGGCCAGACTATTTTTGCAGGTAGAAGGGAGTAGAAAGGCTGAAGTAGAAGGTGAGACACCATTGTCAGAAGCAGCATGGCCCTGAGATGGCTACCATAAAGGTCAGTTCCCACCGCACAGTAATTGATGCTGACATTTCAATTTCAGAGAAGGGATAGACAAATGCTGAGTGAATGATGTGCAAATAGCCAGTGGAGTCTCAAAAATCAGCTGGAATCACAATGTCCAAAGAACAAAAAATTACTCTTTCCTGAGGCATGCTTGTCTAAAAGTTGCTGAAGAGCCAGCCCTATGCCTGGTTGAGACACAAGGTGATCTTGTTGTTGATTTGTTGTGGCTTTTTTTTAAACTTTCTTTCTTTAGAAAAAATTACAAATAATGAAGTCATCTTGGAGAAAAGGTGATGAGCACATTGAATTTGCTGAAACGTTTCTGAAAATAGAAACAGCATAATCACATGTCCTTAGATAATTTATAAAATAAAATATACACTAATGCCTAAATACAGTGATGGCCCACTACCAGATTGTTGTGTTTTACCTTTTACAGAGTTGCTTTGTTTTCTCCTTCTTTAGTTTTAAAGCTTACTCAAAATCATGATGCTACATCATTCAAACATATTCAGAGGAGTGGTATCTGTGTAAAAGTGGGGTTTACTGTGCCTTCAAGAATGTGCGGGAGTGACAAGGTAGCATATCTGTGAATTATGCATCACTTAAGGACATCAAAAATGTGATCTTAAATACCAGAAAGCAGTTCACAGCTAATCCATACCTGATTGCAAGGAAAAAAATCAATTTTGTTATTATAAAAAGAAGTTTTCAGTGTAGACAATTTTTTTTTTTTCCAGTGCGTAGAAACAATCCACAAAGGGAACTTCCAGCCTGCTTAGTAAGTCCAGTTCAGACACACACTCACAAAGGACTGAGGAGTTACTATTTTACAGACAGACACACCAGTAAGGTTCAGGAATTTGTCTCTCTCACTGTTAATAATTCCCAAATGACTCTGTGGAAGTCACTCCAGTTATCCTGGTCTTCCAGCTGTAGAATGGGATAATGATAAGCTGCTCTGCCTGGCATGTTGGGAGCTGTGAAGAAAATGCCACGTTTATCTGTTCAACCTACCTTTGCTTGCCTGGAACTAACTGGCAACCTAGTTATTATTCCTAATGTTGTTGTTATTAAATGGTAATATGCTCCGATACCCAAGAATATTGTCTTGTCAAAGTGTATAGCTTCATATTTGTGGTAACTGCAGCTTTCACTTTGATAAGCAGACTGAATTCCTTACTAGTATCTGTAACAGCAGGAAACAGTGGTAAAATATGATAATGTATTTCCCAAGTGCCTTCACACATGGTCTTAGAGTACACTAACACTACAGCATATGTGTGCAAAGGATCAGTTATGTCTGGGCAGAATTCATTGCTGTTGTTCATAATTCCACTGAATTAGTGGCTTAAGTAGTTGGAAGATTTAAGGAATAACTTTTCTTAAGTAAACCTGGAAGTTAAAGCTGCAGCCTTTGACTGTTCTGAGTTAGGCTTAAGTTGCCATCCCTGCACTTTAAAACATGGTAAAGTCAGAGTAACACCACTGAATTAATTCACACTCTAAATTAAACATCTTATAACCAGTAGTATAAAAGGTAGCCAAAGGAGGAGATTTACAGGAGGAATCAAAAGCTGTGTATTGAGAATACAGGTGAATCCTTCTTTAATGA